TTTTTTCGATCGATCACAATTATATATCCTTTTTCCGTCTCCTTGTTCTAATCTATCTCTCCGCCAATTTCCATCCATATCCGTACAGTCGTTTTTGAGTTATAAATAGTGTAACTAACACGACTTTTTTATATACATTTTAATTTTTTTTCTATTCATACCTCTAATGAGTGAATGAATGAGTTTGCAAAATTATCATTCATTTGTTAAAAATTTGTTTGATAATATTTCTATATTAAAATAGGAGAACAAAAAAATCGAATAATACTTACACTAATTATTATATATATAAATCAATAAAGCTTCAAAGCCGTATGATAAAAAAACATAATAGTTATTTTACATACATAGATTTTTTAATGGCTGATTCTTTTTGAACTGGCGGTACTAAAGAAGGAAACGTCAATATAACAAGTACAATTATGACTCTTGAGATGAGTCAATACACTTACATTTTAACATTTAATGTTTGTTTTGATATTTTTATATTGTACAAAATATAATGATTATTTGAATAGGTTTATATGCTTATTTATATCCGTATAGAATTATTTAATGATATATTTTATTATATTTGCGTTTTTGAATATAACATTTGATTATATGGTTACTAAAATGAATGAATTAATTGATTGTAGGTGTAAGTTTCATAGTTTTGGTAACTTTATTATCTTTTTGTAAAAAACAATATATAATTTATTTATTGAATACAAGAAAAACTTTAAATATTGTAATAATAAGTTATTTTTCTACTGTTTCATAAGCTTGATTAATTTCATTATTGACAATAGGAAATAAAGGCGAGAGTCAATATTTCTTAAAAGAGATAATTGTTGAACATTTTAAAGACAAAAATCTACAACTATATAACATGTAAAATTAATATATTTTAATATATAAAATATATATTAAACTCTGTTATAATACATTGATAAATTTTAATGGTATTTTAAAACAAAACTATAATATAAAGAAATAATATATAGTGTACGTTTACTGTAAAATTATTACCTTTTATTTTTATTTTATTTCCGCCCTCAGCTTCGCCCGCGTGGAGTTCGGTTATATCGCGTTTCCAAGAGAACCTTACAAAAGTCTGGGATAAAAACTGTCCTATGTTCTTTCTCAAGGTCAACTCTATGTCTGTACCAAATTTCATTAAAATCAGTTCAGTGGTTTAGGCGTGAAAGCGTAACAGACAGACAGAGTTACTTTCGCATTTATAATATTAGTAGGGATAGAATTGTTCTTGAACAAAAAGTTAACTAAAAATGATTATTAAATTAATTATATTTTAGAAAACTATATACAATTATTGGAATATTTTTCCAATGTCGAAAATTGTTGGTTTTATTTGTTGGACGAATTATAATCTTGAGTTTTGTATGGAGGAAACACGAAGGGGTAAAGTACAACTTAAAAGTGGCTTATGTCATAATAGATTTAATGACTGTATGTTGTCGAAATTCATATTAAATTAATACTTAATCAAGCTGTTCTTATAAGAAAGAATATATTGTATATAGCCAGGGTCTGCCTTACATGTTGTGAATAGATTTGGCTAATTGTTTTTACGACCGGCCGCCTGCTTGACATCAACCCTCTTTGGGAGTGCATTAATCAGTGATGTCTAAATACTCTTATAAAGTACATATGACTCGGAACAATCACATTAGTACTTGCCAGGGCCAGGAATGAACCCGCGCCATCGTGCATGAGAGGCGGGCCTTTAACCATTAGGCCACCACGACTATATATAAATTAAATATATTTATTTTTAAATTAACATTAAAACAATCATAATTATTTTAACAAAGTAATATCATTTCGAGAAGCAAAAATTAACAAAAATTTTAACGGAAGGTTAAAACCTATCTTTGCTTAAGAAAGTACACAGCATAGTGTTGACATATGTGACCGACAAAGGCTAGTTCATATATATATATGTATATATATATATATGTGTGTGTGTATATATATAGTTATAATATATGTTTATAGTTGTTACATTCATAGCCATGAAATAGTATACATATATGAAATATTAAATTCATATTTACTTACTAAAATTAATAACAATCACATTGATGAAATATATGTATAAAAAAAATCACAGCCTAATAATTTAAATTCGTATCTATTTGTGATAGAAGGTCGATTTGAAAGGACGAACGCTTTTGTACTGTCAATGAATGATAATACCTACTCTTAGGATATTAGGAATTACTTAGAAACTTATTAAAAAGAAAATATAACAAGAAGTAAAAAAGTCTCTCTCTTGCTTATTGTGTATCCCACATGGTAATGTGGTAAAATATAAAAATATATGTATAATGTGGCTTGGTTACTTCTGAAGTCAAATGGATAATTAATTATTCAAGTTTCAGAGATATAGTATATTAAAATGTATATCAAAATATATACAAGTCGTGGTGACCTAGTGGTTAAAGGTCCGCCTCTCGTGCATGAGGGCGCGGGTTCGATCCTGGCAAGTACCAATGTGATTGTTCCGAGTCATATGTACTTAGAGTATTTAGACATCACTGACAGATGAAGGAAAACATCGTGAGGAAACATGGACTTATATTAAATTATAAGTTTGAAATCATCAACCCGTCTTGAGCAAGCGTGGTGATTAATGTTCAAACCTTCTCCATGTAAGAGGCAGCTCAGCAGTGGGCTCTGATAGGATGATGATGATATTTAATAATAATTCGATATATTTAAATATTATATTTTAATTAATCTCACATTATTTTAAAAGGTGCGATTGGTGTGACTAAAAGAAATTCTTTGTGTTTAGTTTACTTTGTTAAAAAAATAATGATTATTTATAATTTTTTAACAGAAATATAATTGCGATAGATTTAATATATTTAGAAAATAGATAATTTAACAATTTGTTAGGAGCCAGGGAAATGTGAAATGTAATACATATATATGTATACTAGTTTTTGCCCGCGACTTCGTCCGCGTTAATTTCATGATTAGTAATATATGTATAGCTGACCGGGCGAACTCTATTCCGTCTTAGAGGCCATAAATAATCAGGTTTTTGCTGTTTCAATCGATGGGTGGCGGTAACTACCTTCCATCAAGTGGGCCGTCTGCTCAGTACATAAAAAATAAGAAATTTTAAAGTATTTTTAAAAATAATTATATGATGTTTGTAATATATAAATTGTCTTAATACCTGAGTTCGTAAAAACGAGTATTGGTTTTGCTACTGCCGCTTGCGCTTGTATGACTAATAACATTTTTATGCGTTACGTAATTTTTCTAATTCTTTTATATAAAAATGTATGATATTTTATTGTTTTTTTTTTTGGTTTCTTTAATGGGTAAATCGGCAGTTATATGGAAAAGCCACCCCGTCCTTATATCGGGAGGGTAGAAGTTGAAAAAATGTTATTTTAAGTTAAACACTGATTAAAGTTTCATTGATAAATTTTCGGTTAAAAGATTAATAGGTGATGTATTTATTGCTAACTTTTAATATAATAGGTCGCAGTTTAATGCTCTGGTTTAAAGTGAAAGAGCAATGTTTTCGCTTTGCTCACATTATGAGTGGAAACACTCATATATTGTATACCCGCTGTGTATATATATGTATATATATATATATATATATATATATATATATATATATATATATATATATATATATATATATATATATATATATATATATATATTTCCTACCCTGATCCCACTTTATGTAGGGTCGGCACAACATGTTCTTCTTTTCCACAGAACATGTTGTAAATAATTTATTTAATTTTTTTTACGACCGGCCGCCTGCCTGACATCAACCCTCTTTGGGAAATGCATTAATCAGTGACGTCTAAATACTCTTAGAAAGTAAATATGACTCGGAAAAATCACATTGGCACTTGCCCGGGCCAGGATCGAACCCGCGCCCTCATGCATGAGAGGCGAGTCTTAACCACTACGCCACCGCTGACTTGTATATAGAAAATTAATTGACTCAAATAATACTAATGTTTTCGGATTTCTACGCGTTTCTTTTATTTTGACAACATACTTACCTCGTCTTCATGATCACGGTTGCTGTAAAGTTACCGAAACGTCGGGAGTGTGTAGTTTATAGTAATAAAAAAACGCGTATTAATCCGAAAATTCTAGCAAATACCAAAAAACAACTCAAAAATTCATATGACAACAACCAACGTCTGCTAGATTCATCTTTGAAAAATAATTTTGATATATTTTTCTCATACATATTTCCATTACATTAATTCAAGATAAAATTTAATTGTAAATCTATATAAAAGCATTAAGACTACAAATTGAAATCTTGTTTGACATATACATATATAATTTATTTAAAACAGACATTTATCTTCAATAACATTGAACTCCTGACATTATTTTTACACGTGAAAATTAAAACAAAGAATTCAAATTGAGGATATATCTTCACTTAAATATCAAATTATTTTATTTATAATCAAAATTAACAAATATAATGACAATAACATATAATATTATATAATTTTGATATATAGTATGATTTTACTTTTCATCTACAGCCTATCTGAGCCCACTGCTGAGCAAAGACCTTTCTCACATGAGAATTTAAGCGATCGTACCAATTGCATTTTGATCTTATTTATTTGGATTTCTTATAATGGATTTAAATTGGAAAATAAGTCAAAGGTCAAATTCTTTGAGGTCATTTATAAAATAGCATCGGAGCTATCGATCAAAGCAATTAGTCCATATGTTTGTAAGTCAGAACATGCGCTAGCTCCGTAACTAAACGTGATTTTATTAGCAACCGGGGCACGTACTATAGAATTATTGTTGCACTTTCTCAACCTGACTTTACTACATCTTAAGGGGCTGTGCAGGGTTAGAAAAACATTTTATTCTCCATTAATATAAATTCTAAGACCTGTAATATACAGAATTTCCAGAACTTCAATAATACAGCTGTACAATATTTGTAATACTGATATTATTCCATTTATTCACAGATCATGTCCAGATGTTAAAAAGATATTTCTTTTGACGCGCCCGAAGAAAAACAAAGACATATTAAAAAGGCTCCAAGAACAGTTTGATGATTGTGTAAGTTTAAATTTAATTTAAATTAAAACAATAATTTAAAAATTTAATTTAAAAACCTTTGTGGGTCAACCGCTGTTGTTTATGTAAACTTAGATGTTCAAACGATATTATCTCTGTATTCTTATTCCTTGACTCACGTTTTTCGGTTCAGCATAATAATAAAGGCATAATGATTTCTAAGATTCTCTGGATTAAAAAAACATGTTTTTTTCTTGGATTTCACTAAGTAATTTTTACTGTTAGAGCACAGACGATCTAATGTGTCTATTACAAAAAAACAAAAATTACAGAAAAAATATTAGAAAAATGCGGAAATTATATTTTAAATTAAATAATAATGCAATATAATATTATCGTTTCAATATATTACATATTATAATAAATCATTAATTATGAATAATGTATTTTAAATATCATCTATAATATAATATCATTCCAACTAGAATGCTTCACATATTTTACATACCTACTTAATATTATAAATACGAAAGCAACTCTGTCTGTCTGTTACGCTTTCACGCCTAAACCACTGAACTGATTTTAATGAAATTTGGTACAGACATAGAGTCGACCTTGAGCCAGAACATAGGATAGTTTTTATCCCAGACTTTTGGAAAGGTTCTCTTGGAAACGCGATATAACCGAACTACACGCGAGCGAAGCTGGCGGCGGAAAGCTAGTATACATATAAAATATAAAAATTGTATTAAATTTTTGTTGAATAAAACTTATAATTTATGTAGTTTTAAAATTTTATTCAAAGATTTTTTTTACATTATGGCTTCACTCACACAGGACTTATGGAATATTTTACAAATGTTAAATTTTTTATTTGTTGGAAGAATTGTAATTTTGAGTACTGTCGAGGAAATACGAAAACGTTTTTGTAATGGAAGAAAGAAGTGTCGAGTCCTATATAAATATCTGATAAAACTTATTAAGACTTAGTTTAGGACTTTGACTCATCACGGGCTCAAAAACTACTTCCTTAATTTTTGAGGATAGCCACGATAAAAAATGAGATATTTGATAATTCCCAGAGCAGTCTAATTTATGGCAGTTATGTTTCATACATAAGTCAGACTTAAAATATAGCAAGTCTAGACTCTAGAGTCTAGACTATGTCAATGTGTGAGTTTGTATAGTTTTAAGTTTTGTATTTATATAGTAATAGTCAAGGTTTCGTTACATACATACGTTTTCCCTAACTTGGAACATAACATTAAACATAGAAGTTTGTAAATCAATGTATTATCCTCCTTGTTTTATAAGTTATATATGTATGGCGTATGTAGTTGTGTAGGTGTGATTGTTTGTATTTAACTCAGACCCTTTTTGTGTGTCGAAACCTCTCATCATTCAATGTATTCATATGCGTGTGTCGGGTCCATCGTTGTAGTGAGAGGAGCTTCAACAGTGACTGGGACTTGTGACCCAGGCGTAGGTTTAAGGGACCCTATCTAACGCGTTAAACGCTCACCTCCACCGTCCAAGCTCCTCTCTCTACCTAACCAAATTTGAAAAGAACATACTAGGGCTGCCATAGATGTACATTCCAAGAATGAATTAATGTGAGTTCTGGACAGTCCCAAGTCTTTTAGTAGGTTATAGATAGATTTAGCTGTTATACCTCTCGCTCCTACTTCTACCGCGTACAAATCAACGACGAACCTATTTCGAGTTAGTTCATTATGTAATTAAACTTAATAATATGTGATTATTTTCTATTATTTTAAGCAAGTTATTTGTGAACCAAAATCACAGTGAAATCGAATAAAAAGCTATACATATAAAAAAGATTAAATTATATATACAGAAACAGAACAATTATAATGCTTTGACGTCAATATTTTCGAAAATAAATTTAATTCAAATATATAAATTATATTACTTATCGTTTAATATATGTATTAAATTTAAATTAAACTAATGTTTTCGTATTATAACGTGTATTTTATTATTTATAACTACATATAATCTTGATCACGGGCAGACGAGATGACTGCTCGTATCTTCTTTCAATATTAGTTTAATTAAAATTACTTTTAGAACTCATTAGAAAATATTAAAAGTTTAAAACTAGGCTTTGTGAATATACAGGGTGACTGGTGAATTACTATCAATATTTAAGGAGCATACTCGGTACATGATTCTCATTCGAATTATGTAAAAAAAATAGGTACTTAATTTTTGACCAAATTTCCGTATAAATAAATAAAGTGTGTACACATTCCAAGTGTTCCTAGTGTGGACGCGTGCGGCGGCGTGCTGATACAACAACACGCCGCCGCGCGCGTATGTGTGAGTGTGTGTGTATACCTAATCTGTAGGGTGTTCACACGATGCGTAATTAATTACATAACTTTTGGTTAACTTTACTTAGAAGTTTATTAATATTTATGTTATATTAATTTTTATTTTGTCATATATGATCGTCAAATATCACGTCTTCAAGTATCGATAGTAATTCACCAGTCACCCTGTATATGGCATGTGGTCTTTAGCTTGAAAGGACTGGAATGTCATGGCATTTCCTAGCTCATGATAAATCAGTGAATCAATGGAAACAGTATTATTAACAGCTTAGCTTATTCTTTTAGCTTGGAAACAAGCTGGAATTTTTTTAGACATTTTAATTAGCATAACCATGGTTTAAAGCTCGGAGATATAAAATTAAAGTGTCTCTTTGTAATAAAAAATAACATATTTATGCTAATTTCGTATGTAAACATAGAGAAACACTGTTTGAGTTATAATTTCTGTCTGTCTGATTGTAAACTAACCTATGTAAAAGTTGGACCGATTATGATGTAACTTTCCTTTACAGACAGCTGATCTATCAAAGCATGTTTAAACTAAATTATTAATTATTTTAGTGAAAGCAGAGTTAGTTAATAATAAATTATAAAATAAGTTGAATAAAAAATACATCGAAAATTTCTTATAGAACTTCACAATAAATAAGACAGTCATTATTGCTAAGAGATATAGATTATTCTTTTTTAAATTCCAAAACTATTTACTATATAACTAAGAAATATATGTATAACATACTAGAAGACCTGGCGAACTTCGTATCGCCCTATAATCAAGAAGTATCTATTACGTTTTTTTATTTATATTTTTGGAGTTTACCTGTAAGCCATAAATCTCCGTGTTTTGAAGTGCCACAGAATGATTGAAATATTAGTTAGTTGTCAAATCTAATGTCAAAAAAATCGTTCGTATGGGAAATAGACATGGGCTGTTTTTATGGTTTTCCCAGTAATGAATCGATTTTTTTCAGCTTTTATACCTTCCCTGAACCTCCACGAACATTTCAAGACTAAGATAAGATAAATCCGTTCAGCTGTTCTCGAGTTTTAGCGAGACTAAGGAGCAGCAATCCATTTTTATATATATAGAAGATTATGTTATGTGATATAAAAAATATAGTATTTTTATGATCATAGGTAGGTAGGCGAAGCTAGGTCAAGTACCTTGTTCATCATTGAATAAGGATTTGGTTACGCAAACACATAGAATTAGAGGTAATATAAATTAATTATATTTACTAAAATATTTACTATGTACTATCTTCGGTTATATCTCGTTTCCAAGAGAACCTTTCAAAAGCCTGGGTTAAAAACTATCCTATGTTCTTTCTCAGGGTCAACTCTATCTCTGTACCAAATTTCATTAAAATCATTTCAGTGGTTTAGACGTGAAATCGTAACAGACAAACGAACAGACAGACAGAGTTACTTTCGCATTAATAATATTAGTAGGGATAAGATCTTTTCGAAATAAAATAACTTAATAGGTATCAAAAATATCATTAAAAAAGAATTTAAATATTTTTCGTTTTAGTTAATAAAGACTCAATTGAACTAAAATCAAATTATATACTATATATCAAAAACATATGTTTAAAAAAACAAGAATCCTTTGTTTCATATTGAGACAAATAAACAAAGGAATAAAAATAAACAAAGGATTGACATAAAAAATTAATACAAACATGGTAATTTCAAGGCAATGTAGCTTAGAAATACGTAATAATGATCTGTTTCATTATAACTAATGGTTTTTAAATAAAAATTATTATATATATACAAGATAAGTATTTTATTTGTAATAATTTGTTTAATACAGTTGAAATTTTATAAGATATTTACTGTCTTAAAAAATCTTTAAAGGACTTTTAATTTATCATAAAATAATTAAAAGATATAATTTTAGAATGTCGTACTTAATTTTATTAGTTTTAATATATATACATATATATGTATGTATATATATATATATATATATATATATATATATATATATATATATATATATATATACCTAGAAAACGTCGGCTATGTAAAGCTACATAAAGTTAAGTAAATACGGCAAACTATTGGTATTTACTGTGACTGTTTGAAGGCGTACTAGGCTATACATTGATGTTCATTAATTTTAATTTTAAATAGCTATAATTGAGACTTGTAATTTAGTGTAAAATATTCACAAAGAAATAATATTATTTCTTTATATTGAAAATGTTGATATACTAAGAATATTCTATCAAAAAATATATATACTTACTAGCTTTCCGCCCGCAGCTTCGCCTGCGTGGAGTTCGGTTACATCGCGTTTCCAAGAGAACCTTTCAAAAGTCTGGAATAAAAACTATCCTATGTTCTTTTTCAAGGTCAACTCCATCTCTGTACCAAATTTAATTAAAATCAGTTCAGTGGTTAAGGCCTGAAAGCGTAACACACAGACAGACACATAGACGGACAAAGTTACTTTCGAATTTATAATATTAGTAGGGAGTATTATGTACTAATTATGACTTACTGTAATATTAATAAAATTTTGTTAAAAACTGGAAAAATGTGGCAAAATGAATCGAAACGTCGGTAGTATGCAGTTACTCTAAGTAATAAAAAAGTGAAAAACTCTTTTTTAATATATAAATATTTCTTATTAGTTAATTTTTATACTATAGTACCTATAACTTTTCATATAGAAAGTCAGTGGTGGCCTAGTGGTTAAAGGGCCCGCCTCTCGTTGCCGAAGGCGCGGGTTCGATCCTGGCCCGGGCAAGTACCAATGTGATTTTTCCGAGTCATATGTACTTTCTAAGAGTATTTAGACATCACTGATTAGTGTTGATTCCCAAAAGTGGCTTGATGTCAGGCAGGCGGCCGGTCGTAAAAACAATTAGCCAAAACTATTCACAAACATGTAAGGCAGACCCTGGCTATAGCTGGGAAATTGCCAGGTAGAAGAAGAAGTGTAACTTTTCATATAAATTCATTTCCAATAAACCTATTAATATTCATATTAAAAGTCCTTAAAATTCGTACAAGATTTTCAATATTGTCAGTTTTTTCTAACGTCTAAATAATACATATTTGCTTAAGCTATTGACAATGGCTTTTCTCCCCATTGTTGTAAACTAAACTTTGATAAGTATTATTTAATAATGATAGCAATGTGTACATAATTAAAATAAAATGTAAGTAAATAATGTAGGTATATGACTTTTTGATAAAGTAAAGGCTTAATTTATTTATTTTTAGCTGATGACAATTATGTCGTTTTTATAAAATATTTCAGTTATAACAGTTATTCACACAATTTGCGTTTAATTTTACTATATGTAACATATATATACTAGTTTTTAATTTCGTCATTAGTATTATACACATGTATAGCTGACCGAGCGAACTCTATTCTGCCATAGAGGCCGTAAATAACCAGATATTGGAATTAATTATTATTTTTTACTTTTCCGATGGAATAGAATAAAATATCCTATGTCCAGACGGACATAGGACAAGGAGACCCTTGTTCTAATCTATCTCTCCACTAATTTCCATCCATATCCGTACAGTCGTTCTTGAGTTATAAATAGTGTAACTAACACGACTTTCCTTTATAACTACATATATATATATTTAGGTGAGAACCGTCTGTATCTATGTAGTATTTTTATTAAAAAACTTCTCTTTACCACATAATAATACATTAATTTTATTAAGAAATATTTGAAAAAACATTTCTATAGAAATTAAAATAATAAATGTTAGAATGCTTAATAAAAAACACTAGTTAGGTCACGATTTTTGGTCACAAAATTAAATAAAAATCACAAAAGTTAGTAATAAAAAAATTACTGGAATTTTAATAAAGATTTTCAAAACAAAATATTTTTACCAATTTATATGGAACGTGTAATGCCTTTTTATCAAACTACTTTTTGTTCTAGAACTAGTTATAAAATAGTATATTAAATCTTCGTTGTTTAAAATACACAAAATTTCACATACATTTCATAATACAGTTATTTCCTTATATATATATATTTTTTCAGCTTTTCGACAAACTCAGGAAGGAAAGACCGGATTTTATACAAAAAATTCAAGTAGTGGACGGAGATGTTAGCAAAATTGGTCTCGGCATAAACGATGAAGACAGGAAAAATATTATAAATGAGGTAAAAATATATATATATATATATATATATAAAATATTTTTTTAAAAGTCAGTGGTGGCCTAGTAGTTCTAAGGCCCGCCTCTCATGCAGGAGGGCGCGGGCTCGATCCTGGCAAGTGCCAATGTGATTTTTCCGAGTCATATGTACTTTCTAAGATAATTTAGATATCACTGATTAATTCATTCCCAAAGAGGGTTATGTCGGGCAGGCGGCCGGTCGTAAAAACAATTCGCCAAAACTATTCACAACATCTAAGGCAGACCCTGGCTAAGGCTGGGAAATTTCCAGGTAGAAGATTATTGAATAAGAGTTGAATTTGATTCCAGGTTGAATATATTTTCCACGGAGCAGCCACAGTAAGGTTTGATGAAGCTCTAAAGACAGCTGTTGAAATAAATGTACGCGGAACTAGAGAAATGTTGATACTAGCAAGAGCTTGCACGAAGCTACGAGCTTTGGTGCACATTTCCACTGCCTACAGGTAATTAATTTACCTTAATAACCTTAATTACAGGTAATTAATTTACCTTAATTAACTTTGATAGTGTTAACAGAGTTCTAAAGACTATGAAGAAGATTTAAAGCATTATTAAAAACGTTTATAATGTCTGTAAGTTTATTACTACTGATTATTACAGAACCCTTAGTAAGAATTTGCGAAATTAGTGCACACTTGTTGAAGTCTTCGCCGTAGATAAGATAGGAATTGACTATCTGCTTCATTAAATCAATTATAACACTTGGCAGTTATTTTTAAAAACAACCCTCTATATAGTTTATATTTATATGTACAAAAGTGAGTTTATTCACAAATTAATATTAAAAATCATGAAACATTTTTTCACTACAGTTCAATGTACAAATACGAAAAGCGTTTGATGTATGATATTGAATATTACAATCATTCTAGTTTCAAAGTTTCAATTTATTTAGTCATATACAAACCGGTGAAAAATAAGCTCAAAGATTCCCTTACATATATACAACCCAAATTAATAAAAGTTAAAAATGATTAAATATAAAATTATATTATACCATAAAGATATTATTATAATAGTTTATAATCATAAATATATTGTTTTTATATACTATGAAGTAATTTCAATTAAGTATCTCAGTTGTTCAAAAATGACTATTATATGATGTCTTAAAGACCATATTAATTCTTGTTTGTTTTCCAGCAACTGCCCTTTGAAAGAAATAGATGAGAAATTCTACGAATCTCCTCTCACTGCTGAGAAAATGATTGATTTGGTTGAAAGTATGGATGAAACTACATTGAACACTATCACTCCAGGGTAAGTAATATTATGCCTAAATAAAATACCATTTTACAAGGAATACTTAGCAAACAAAATATTCTCTAAAACTCTTACACTCTTAAAAGTGTTATTCTCCAGTCTTATTCTTAGTTACTAATAAATAAAGTTAATTTTTGTCCCCATTGATGTAACTTATTCCTTTTACAGTATATTAGGAGACTTCCCAAATACATATGCCTATACAAAGTTCCTGGCTGAAGATATTGTGCAGAAGAACTCCTATGGTCTTCCGGTCGCTGTGAATAGACCTTCTATAGGTGCGTTGCTTAGTGTTTTTAAGAAATGTAGTAATATATTTTGAAGGAAAACTACTTTACGCACGCTTGACTTGGGGGTAAACTTGTGAATGCGTTACGAAAAGTGTGATTGGGTGGGGCGAATGAGAGTGAGAGGGAGATATATGTTAGTGAAAACAGATAGAGAGTGTTACAGTTTGTATACTACTGTAGGGACAGAGCAGTGCACACGCACATTTTCTTTAAATTGCTACAATAAGAAAGATTATAGTAAACTGTATTAGAATTTTAGTTAAACATTTTTATAATATACATTTTTTTGTAAATGTACTTAAGTAATGGTTTAGTTCTAACTAATTGATGTAGTTTAAATAGTAAGTAGATTAAGTTGTAAAATTCACGACGAAACTCCAATACGTTTATGATGGCACCTTCAATAACGTGTTATCTGTTTTTATATGTATTCGTTTTAAAATAAATAAATAACCTGTTCTAAACGCAATATATCCAATGGAACCTACCAAAAAATTTGTAAAATACTTACTAAATATATTTTTGTTTCAGTTGTTGGAACAGCAAAAGAACCATTGTTGGGTTGGATAGACAATGTATATGGGCCTACGGGGGTAAGTTACAAATATTGCTATTATCTTTAAGTTACTCCTAAATCACAATAAATACATATACAGTAGAAACTCTTTCAACCCGACTAATTTTTGTCCGTTAAATCCGTATAACTAAGGGCCGGATAATAAAGTTTCTACTGTAATTTGTATGCTGAGTTCTTGTTTGAATCTTTTATTTAATTATGACAAATTCTAGGTGGTAGTCGGAGCAGGTCTGGGACTTCTCCACACTTTAAACTGTGATCCAAAAGCAGTCGCTGATTTAGTGCCGGGGGATTATGTGGTGAATAGTTTGATAGCAGCAGCTTGGAAAACGGCGCGGGATCATCCCGGGAACCACGAGGAAGCTCCTATAGATCAACTTCCAGTCATCTATAACTATGTCTCATCAGAGCAAAAGCCGTTGACTTGGGGTAAGGTTCATTGGAAATGATTTTATGACATTTTTTTATAGCAAAAAGGGACAATAACAGACGGCCTACCTGATGGAGGTAGTACCGTCGCCTATGGACATTCGCAAAGTAGATTTGCGGATGTTGCCGCCTTTGATTGGAGAAATGGGGGAGGAAAAGGTGGGAAAGGGATGGACGAAAGGGTGCAAAAAGGGAAACGGCAAAACTGACTCTCTTTCTTACTGAACGAAACGCAGCCATTAAAAACTACATCACGCCGATCTTCTGTGAGAGGGTGGTACTTCCCCGGTCGAGACAGCACATGTTCAAGCTGTAGTAACTTGACCACAGCTAGGCTCTACTACCTCATAAAATAGCAGATAATTGGCACAGGATAATATTTGGACATAATCCATACATAAAGAAAACTAGCAATGAAGTTATAAATTGCTATAGACTACGTTTAAGTTCATATTCTAGTCAGAATTTTATTTGACATACAGTTATAGTTTGTAAAAACTTAGCCTAACTTTATTCAGTTTGATGAAACAAATTGCTTGTGTACTATGATCAATTGTAAGTTATTAGAATACTTAACAACAGAAAACTAGGAAAAACGCTAAATATAGCTTTTATAGATAATAAGTCTATTACGATCTTATTAAATTGCTTTTTAATTTAATACTTTTCGAAAAAGATAAATACAAGATGGCTTTTCATTCATTAGAAGTTTTGAAAACAGTTAAAATATATTAAACTAATAAAATACATTAAATTTCCAGAAATGTTTATGAAATACAGCGAATTATATGGAATAGAGACGCCTCCGTTGCAAGCCATCTGGACCTACCTACTAATACTGACGCCAAATTTATTTTTCTACAAATTCTGCTGCCTCTTAATGCACTGGCTACCGGCGTACATCGTCGATGGCCTATGTTTTGTCATCGGCAAAAAACCTATGTAAGTTACAATTTTTTAATATAATTAAATGAACAGTTGAGTCAGAAATCTTATCGTTTAGCATACAACAATTTTTTTTTGATTCCGTCTATCTAATGATCATATTAAGAAATATAGTGTTTCTTATGATTTCAGGTTAAGAAAGGCGTATACAAAAATCGAAAAATTCTCAGCGGTTATCGGTTATTTCGCTGTGAGACAGTGGAAGTTTCATAACAACAATACTCAAGGACTTTTCAATGAAATGTGCAGTGTCGATAAAGAAATATTTGATTTTGACATCGGTTCTCTTGATTGGGTAGATTATCACAAAACTTACGTCACTGGAATAAGGCAGTATCTGCTAAAAGATCCTTTAGAAACAGTACCACAAGCTAGGAAAAAATTTTTAAGATTGAAAGTTCTCCATTATGTATGCACAATAATATTTTTATTCCTATTGTATAAATTATTCTCATTTATATTCAGAGTCGTTGTTTAGTTTATATTAGGATGAGAGTTCAGTGAGTGATATATTTATTATAATTTTTTTTTGGTATTTTTGAGTATTTTTTTTTTTTTTTGGGGTACATGTAAATATTATATAAATTTTGTATTGAGAATAAAATATGCAATATATTATGTATTCCGATGAACATAAGTAAAAAATCACAAAGGATTTATTATAAGATATAAAAAAGTATACATGAACTAAAGTTGTTAGTTTTTATTTGTTACTTGTAAGTGAAATCGAATGCTCAAATATGTGTTATTTGTAATAAAGATTTTTGTAAATATATATTTTTGATTTATAAGAAAAATATATGAAAAAATATTATTAATTAATTCAATTTTTCGCCTTTCCCGCTTCGACTTCAACTGTCATAAAACTTTAGTCTTTTTATAGCATCAAAAGTGGCTTCTTGATAGTAGAGATGAGACAAAAGACTGAATTCATCTTTCCAATAAAATATTGATGAAGTTACAGTAGCATTTTGTTCCATATTCACTTGTCTTGTTTGCAAAACCATTCGGCAAAAATTCTTGACCAAGAAAATCTAAATATGATAAAAAGAATATTATAAATTAGATATCAATAATAAAACTTAAAGTGTAAAATTCCTTAATAAATAACTATCAAGTGACTTCTCGGCGTTCCCAAGAGGAAGATATTGGTGTTTGGCTTCTTTTTGGGGGACCAGACATGGATGTAATAATATCTGTGAGAATATACCATTCTGGAAAATTGACGTTGGTAGGCACTAGCTAGTTCTATGAGAGTTTTATTCCTAGTTAATACAGTTTTATGCCTCATAAAGGTTGAGTATTTCTGGCACCGAGAGAGGGCGCTACTGTGCGACTGTTCACATCGGCTCGGTGTTTCTAACTCTTAAATAATTACTAATTATCAAAAAAACAGCTGAATCTCATCCAGATCGACTGAAAAATATCAAATCCACCGGGACGAAGTGAAGTACACAAGTGAAACTGAAAAAGTGTTAACGGCTCAAAATATATGTATTAGAGTGCTTAACGTTAAGAACCCATCGAATACAAACAGTGAAAAACAATAATAGTTAGTAAAAGACTATTGGGTATTTACGTGGATGTGGAACTGAAAACAAGTCAAAAATTCATACAGATATTATTTAAGTTAACTTTAGAAAAATTGCTAATCTTCTCCCATAAAATTTATGTAATCTATTAGCGGATATGAACTCAAAGCGTAAATCAATCGTCGTAATAGTACCGCCACTCATCACAAGAGGGCACTAATATTAAATATTATAATTATAAGCCCTCGATAAAATTAAATATGACAAAGTATCCATAATAAAAAGTGAAGACGAAATTAATAGCTTTTATATAACTATAAGGAAGGTATTTTTTTTAATTTATTGGAACCATTTATTTAATTAGTACATATCAGTTATTGTAAACTCATCAACGATTGTCACATTATACATAACAAAACAAAAATAAAAATGAACCTATTTAAGAATTAAATATTAACAAATTCACACAATTAACAATTTAATTATTACTTATTATGGTGAAAAGATATGACAGATGAGATTTATAGAAAAAATAAAAGAGATAAAAACAGGAAAAATTAGATATAAACATTTTGTTCAATAAAACTTAATATATTTTTTATACATGTTATAAATTAAATTCAAAATGTGCGTATTAATGCTAATACATATATGGATTGAATCCAAAAATAAAGCTTTTCACCATAACATCAGTAATTGACATTGCAACAAGCAAAACAAAATTTGGAGGAGGCCTTTACCTATAAAAAGGGTTTCTCACACTTTAATTAAGTACTAACGTAGTATTATATATTATGTACATAGATAGTAAAGTAATAGAAATATTAACAAATAGATATTAATAATATACTCGTACTGACTACTAACAATCCTTTATGTACTCAAAATTTGTGAGAAATATAGGCGCTTTTTTTTATTTATTTTATAAAAGTAACTTGGTTAAAGTGGACTCTTGGTAATCTAACTTTTGAAGTTAATTTTGGAGTAACAAATTTGTCTGTTTATAGAATATAGTTTTTTTTGTTTCCTTAAACATATTTCAGACAACTTCCTTGTCACTTTTCATTATATATTTACATATATTTCTCTTCTCTTCTTCCTGGCAATTTCCCGGCTATAGCCAGGGTCTGCCTTACATGTTTGTGAATAGTTTTGGCTAATTGTTTTTTACGACCGGCCGCCTACCTGACATCAACCCTCTTTTGGGAATCAGCATTAATCAGTGATGTCTAATTATTCTTAGTACATAATACATATGACTCGGAAAAATCATATTGGTACTTGCCCGGGCCAGGATCGAACTCACGCTCTCGGCAACTAGAGGAGGGCCCTCTAACCATAAGCCACCACTGACTAAATATATTTACATATATTTTTATTATTATATGACTAGTAGCGCCATCTAGCGTAAAGTATGTAAGTCTGTGGGTATGTTCGTTTTCTCAAATTTTAAAATAAAGATGTGTTCTTATCTGTCACTCAAGCGTTTAATTTATGTATTAGAAAATCAAAGAATATTATAATCTAATTTTATAAACAGATTAACTTATAAACAATAACTTAATTATATTACAATAATCTGATTCACGTAATAAATATATAATAAACTTATATAAGTTTTTTTTTTTTTTTTGGGGGTACATGTAAATATTATATAAATTTTGTATTGAGAATAAAATATGCAATATACTAAACTGTAAAATTTATTTATTAGAATATACATATTATATTTATTTTAATTTTTATGTAAGGTTACACCCATGAACTGTCCATATTTATAACTTGTAACTGTACATAAATAAAAGATCGCCATTTCAATATATTATAATCGTTGACAGGGAGATTACAATATATGAATTTCTATTAACAAAATATCATACAATATAATAAGATAAAAAAACAAGCAATCATGACGTGTTTTTAATTATTAAATTATAACTTTTTTCACAAAACTGTTGTACATGAAGTAAGCGAGAAGAGAGAGAATAAGGAACTTCATAAATATATCCAACCAATACAACCTGAAAATAAAAATAAAATATTAATATTAATTATACAGGGTGACTGGTGAATTACTATCAATATTTAAGGAGCATACTCGGTACATGATTCTCATTCGAATTATGTAAAAAAAATAGGTACTTAATTTTTGACCAAATTTCCGTATAAATAAATAAAGTGTGGTTACGTTCCAACTGTTCCAAGTGTGAACGCGTGCGGCGGCGTGCTGATACAACACAACGCCGCCGCACGCGTATGTGTGTGTGTGTGTGTATACCTAATCTGTAGGGTGTTCACACGATGCGTAATTAATGACATAACTTTTGGTTAACTTTACTTAGAAGTTTATTAATATTTATGTTATATTAATTTTTATTTTGTCATATATGATCGTCAAATATTACGTCCTCAAGTATCGATAGTAATTCACCAGTCACCCTGTATATGTATAATGTGTATATAACCTATTGTAATTAAATGAAGCGAACGGAAAGCTATAATGCGACTCAGGTAATTCATCCATTCTAATTTACAAACATTGAAAAGAATTTCTTTTTGATAATAAATTGAATAAAATATTTTCCATGTGATTATAATGACAAGAATTTGAAAATATAATACGTACATTCGAAGTAAATTAATATGGCACATTAAAAGCTATACATTATTTAATATATCTCTAAGATTCGATAAAGCAAATTTTTATTGTAGTATTGATTTGATCGTCATGGCTTAACTGTCACATTTGATCAAAATTGTTCATTTGTTATCAAATTTTGCTCAATATGGCTAAGTTACTTTTAAATTTGATCAAAATTATTCAATTGTTATAAGTTAGAGGAGATATTTTTACCCGAGAATTTAATTTTTTTTTAACCGAAATTCGTCGTATTTTTTTATTCAGATAACTTTTTTTATTGTCAATAGACTGTTTGACAATGAAAGGTTTGAAATATCTTTATATATATAATTCTTCTGTGAGTGTGTATGTCACTGAACTTCTCTCAAACGACTGGACCGATTTTTATGATTTTTTTTGTGTGTGTTTAAAGGGATCTGGGAATGGTTTAGATTCACAATTTTGTCAGCTAGACAATGTTTTTTTTTTTATTAATTTTTAATTTATTAGTAATTGTTGATGAAACGTTTTTTTTTTTGACATTAGATTTGACAACTAACTAATATGTCAATCATTCTGTCGCACTTCAAAACACGGAGATTTATGGCTTTAATAGGTAAACTCCAAAAATATAAATAAAAAACGTAACAGATATTTCTTGACTATAGGGCGATGCGAAGTTCGCCGGGTCTTCTAGTATATACATATTTATACAGAGTGACTGGTGAATTACTATCGATACTTGAGGACGTGATATTTGACGATCATATATGACAAAATAAAAATTAATATAACATAAATATTAATAAACTTCTAAGTAAAGTTAACCAAAAGTTATGTTATTAATTACGCATCGTGTGAACACCCTACAGATTAGGTATACACACACACACACACACGCGTGCGGGGGCGTGGTGTTGTATCAGCACGCCGCCGCACGCGTTCACACTTGGAACAGTTGGAACGTGTACACACTTTATTTATTTATACGGAAATTTTGTCAAAAATTAAGTACCTATTTTTGTTACATAATTCGAATGAGAATCATGTACCGAGTATTCTCCTTAAATATTGATAGTAATTCACCAGTCACCCTGTATATACATATTTTTTTACTTCTATTATATACCCTTAACCAACATCAATTTTGTTTTTCCACTGTCCTCTCCTTATGACAGTTAAAGGGTTAAAATTTGCTCACCATGGCTAAGTCACAATCGCAATTGATCAAAATTTGCTGTTAGATTTATGTAAGTTAAAACAGTTTAAAACAACTTACTGATTAAGAAGTTTCCTCGCTTGGGGTAAAGTACTATCATCCTCTTTACAACAGAATTCTCTGGCACCCTTTACGTAACTCTGCATATACTTATTCCAATTGAGTGTCTGAAAATATTAATTAATACATAAAAAACAATTCACTGAAATCTTTTCTAGTTTTTATATTTGTGTGTGACATATGAAAAATCTTATTATTTTTAACAATTGTGAAGTAAACTTATTTATTATATTTCAATGACTAACAAGACTAATTAATTCATTATTTTATAATTATTTGATTTTTATTGCCAAAGTTAAAAAGATTCGGTCTTCTTCTTCTTACTGGCAATTTCCCCGCTTTAGCCAGAGTCTTTTAGAAGATTCGGTATTTCATCAAAATCGGTTTAGCGGTTATAACAAATAATTTAAGCATGAATTTTTTTTATGTAAAAAGTGGCAAACGAGAAGACGGCGCACTTGATGGTCAGTAGTGACCGTCGCCCATGGACATCCGCAACATAAACGTTGCGGATGCGTTGCCAACCTTACTTACTTGTGGGGGAGAAGGGAGGGGTGGGAATAAGGAAATATGAGGAAAGGTTGAGAACAGGGAAAGGGCAACCGGCTCTCTCACTCATCGGACGAAACGCAGTCATTATTGACTACTTCACGCCGATCTTCTGTGAGAGGGTGGTACTTCCACGGTCGAGACAGCACATGTTCGAGCTGTAGTAACTAAACTACAGCTAGGTTCTACCACCTATAAAATGATTAATGATAAATATATTTACCGACAAATCCGTGTAAAAAACGTCGTTATCAGATTTCGATATTCTTTCTTTCAGCGACTTGTAGTAATCGTTTTCGAAAAACCACTCGTTTATTGTGAAGTATTGAAGCACGTTCAGGCCGTAGCTCACTCGTTTTTGTACTTTCACCATGCTATAAATAAAACAAAATTTCGAGTAACATTATTGCATAAATTATATACTAATTGAAAAAAAAAATAGTTACGTACAAAGTTTTCTGTCCCATCAGAAGCATGAGGAAATCAATGAAATACGCTGGCAAGACGTGAAGGAAGAAAGCTGCTATCATATGGTGTATTTTGGAGCTTTTGGCTGTCCCATCAGGATACCACAGACAGACGGAGAAAGGAAACTCATGAACGAACAGACGACCTGGATATATTTATATGATACATTGGATTTAATAGAAAAACTTACCTATATCCTCAATAAGAGCAGTAGTAAGCAAACGGTCTCAAAGATTTCGATAGATTTTAAGTAAAACACAAAATTATATACATACGTAACCCACAATTTTATATAAATACAATTTAATATTAAATTGTCAATTGATTTTAATATAACTAATATTTTTAGGATTATATTACGTGACTTTATTTTTGATAAAAACTACATACTCCCGACGTTTCAGTTACTTTTCAGCAACCGTGATCAATAAGACGAGATGTGTAAAAAAAATATTAGTTTCATTTAAATGAATATAACTCGTGATAATCTAAGATCTCATTAATGTCAAGTAAGTTTTTTTTAAGATTTTGTGACACGTATTTGTATAGCTTACCCAACTCAATGGCGTATCCCCATGTGATAGGATTTTCATCGGATAACGTGATGTTACAAACCCTGATCTCTTTTGGTCTGTTGAACAATAAATTAAATACATGTATGTATAAGTATATTAATCTTCTTCTACCTGGCAATTGCCCAGCTATAGCCAGTGTCTGCCTTACATTTTGTGAATAGTTTTGGCTAATCGTTTTCACGACCGGCCGCCTGTCACACATCAACCCTCTTTGGGAATGCATTAATCGGTGATGTCTAAATACTCTTATAAAGTACATATGACTCGGAAAAATCACATTGGTACTTGCCAAGGCCAGGATCGAACCCGCGCCCTCGTCTATGTATATACCAGTGGCGGCTGTACCTTAAGTGCGCCCGTGCGCTGAACCACCAATTCAAAATATTTAAAAATTACAAAATATTATGTCATCTTAATTTTTAAATTACCATTTTAATATTTATTTTTTAAACATACAAAAAGGTATAAAAAATTTAATTTCCAATTATGGTCAAAAAGTTTGAGCGCTTTACTAAACTCATATCGTGCGCTCCGGCGAGTGCACGAGGACTGCTAATACATCTTGTATGAGACACGCATCAATACGCCTGGCGCGTGAGACAAAAGATAGTTCATAGAAATGTACCGAGTAACGAGTCGGTTCTCGAGCGCCGCACGAAGCGGCCGAAGGTCACCGAGAGCACCCGATGTATGACGTATTGAGCCGGCCGACAAGGGGCCGGCCGAAAGGATGGGTGCTATGATTGACATTTCGTTAATCGTTATTGGTATTGTTTCAACTTTCACTGTATGCGTGACGCGTTAATTCGTTATTGTTTATAATTATTTCCGTAATTCGTTTTAGTTTTTATTTCGTTTCTATAATAGAACTTTTATTCTGTACTGTGTTTTTTATTAGTTGAAAATGAGTATAAATATTGGTTATATTAAAGAAAATAACAAAATTTTTCAAAGTAAAGTGAACATAAAATTGGCCGGGCCGCCACGGCCCTTTTTAAATTTAAAACAAGAGTGTAAATCGAAAAATAAAGCATTTATATGAAGTTTTAAAAGTGAAATGTATAATAGAAAGAAATGGTTGTGTGGATGTGAGCGTCTTAATACATTCTTTTGTTTTCCTTGCATTATTTTTGGCGGAGAATCGATTTGGACAGAAACTGGAATCAGATTTTAATAAAAAGGTGATAGAACATTTCGCTACAGAAAAATGTCGTCGCATTGATTTAATGTACAAAAAGTAAACCTATTTTATGTCAATTGTTGTTTTTGTCAATATTTTAGTAAAGTGAACCACCAGTTCGATAACCCACCAGCCGCCACTGGTATATACATATCAATAATAATGAAAATTACTTCAGAACATTCTATATCAAGGGTATTTGGTTCATTTCTGTTACTTCTGGAAAAATAATCAGCTGTTTATATTTTTAAAAAATCTGTTAGTTCAACTTACTTTTCAATGGCTGTAAGGTATCCCAAGATAATGCAAGCATTCACAACATAATCAACAGGAATCAGATCAGCTTGGTATGAAGAATTGCAATGTACAGTGCGTATGACGCCTTGGAAATGAAAAAAAGACATACTTTAAACATAAACTACTACATTTTTCATGAATAACGTACGGTTAATATTTGTTTAACAATGATTTCCATTCATTTGAGCAAATAAACCAAATTTAGCAGCGTAAAATGCAAAGAATATTGTTGAATATAAGTAAATTGTATAATCTATTATTATAAATCTGTGTGTGAATAGTCGTATCATAGTTATGTCAGTTGAAGGTTGATTAAATATACGGAGGTCATTAAAAAAGGGTTTTATTTCATCTAAGTATTTTAACAAATATATTAAAGAAGTTAGTTACCTTTTCCAGAACCCACTAAAAGTCCCGTGGGTCCGTTCAGATTGTCAACCCAACCTGGTAAGGGTTCCTTTTCAGCAGCAGTCACTAATAACAATAAAATATTAAAATACAGAGGAATATGCTTTTTACAACATCCACTATATAAGTAGACTACCGCCAAAAAAGACTGAAACACAAAAGGGAATTCTTACAATTGTGGTATATAAAAAAAATATTAATAAAAAATAGTCAAATAATATTTATTTTTCTATATACTAAAACGTGGAGATAATAGTGTTATAAAAGAAATGATAACTCGTCTTAAAGAGAATTTTTCCAGAAACCCTTTTGATAGTCGAAACAAGAAAGGACTGTTTTGTAGGGACAATAAAAAAGAGGAGAAAAGAAGTATATACATATACTTAAATAAGTATATAACAAAATTGTCATAATAGAAAATTAAGCTATGCACATAAATATATACATATTAATTAACTTCAAAATAGCATAAGTAGGTCAACATAACGTTTCTTACCAATAGATGGCCTTGCTATCACAATGGGGTATTTACCCGCTTTTTGAGCAACTAGCTCTTCAGTTAATGATTTGGTGTACGCGTAAGTATTCGGTTGTGGCTCAATTAATCTGGAAAAAGGAAGCTTTAAACTTCAAATCAGGCTAATTATTGCAAAATAATCTAAAATGTTATAGTATTGTTAATGGAATATCCCAAGTCTAAGTTTGCATCTTAACCCTACATACGGAAGGTATACACTTTTTTACTCGTAAATCTTATTACATAGTAGCAATAACGTTGGTTGTTTAGTGAGAAACGGGAAACGCTACGTACAGTATGTACTCGTAATATAACGATACAATTTGTAAAAAAATAATGATCGCTTCAACGGTTCAAAGAAACTAATATATATATAGGCCACCACGACTTATTTGAAATGTGTCTATATATTTTACGTAGGCAATATATTAAGTCTTTTCATCCCTACTAATATTATTGTATATAAATGTAAAAGTAACTCTGTCTGTCTGTTACGCTTTCACGCGTAAGCCACTGAACTGATTTTAATGATATTTGGTACAGAGATAGAGTTGACCTTGAGAAAGAAGTGAGGATAGTTTTTATCCCAGACTTTTGAAAGGTTCTCTTGGAAACTCGATATAACCGAACTCCACGCGGGCGAAGCTGCGAGCTGAGAACTAGTATTGCATATAACCTGGTTGTATGATAAATATTAACGTGAGTCATATAAGAGTTGTAGAAAAGGAATACTTTGGCTCCAAAGGTTTCAAAAGCTCGTCATCCATCCATTGGACGCAGTTCATGATGTCTTGTGGTCTATGCTTAGCTGGGTACAGACGCTCTTCTAAATTCCTTACTTCACATCGACAATATGATGTAGAAACATGGACGAAAACCTGAAAGATCAAAAACAAAATAAAACTATATGATCATTAATTTGTTTGTTTGTTTTACATCAAATGCCTTAAAATAAAAATAATATATATAGAGGTTAAGGCCTGCCTCTCTTGCATAGACCTGGCAAGTACCAATGTGATTGTTCCGAGTCATATGTACTTAAGATTATTTAGACATCACTGACAGATGAAGGAAAACATTATGAGGAAACTTGGACTTGTAACAAATTATAAGTTTGAAATCGTCAACCAGTCAACAAGCGTAGTGATTAATGCTCAAACCTTCTCCATGTGAGAAGAGGCTCAGCAGTGGGCTTTGATAGAATGATGATGATTTACCTTAATTTACTCTTACCTATAACTCGGAAGAATTGATAAATATACATTTGTAAGGTAATTCTCACCTCAAGCTTCTCCATATCATCAGCAAGCTTCAGAACTCTGTCGGTTCCCGTAATGTTCATGTTTACAGCATCACGGATAGGCATATCAAATCTATATAAATAAATTAATTTATACTAAAACAATTAATATTAGGTCGACGTATTTAAATCCCAAAAAATTTTGAATATTTTTTACTTAAAATGGGTTTCAAAATATGCTAATTTATTAGTTTTTAGTCTAATTGTATCAATTTTTTATTAAATACAGCGTTTATTCTAAGGCGTGGTGGAATGAAATATATAAGTCCAAATACCTAACGCAAGCAGCACAATGGTACACAATCTCAGTTTCCCTCGTTAATTTGTCCCAGTCTTCAATGGAGATTCCCAAATTATCCTGGAGAATATCTCCACGAATTGCAGTGACCTTGTCGAAAGACTTTGGTGATTTTTCATTAAGAATCTCGAATACCTAAAAATATTGCGTTTATATTACTGTAATAATGGACATTTACTTTTAAATTCTCTTGTATATATTATTATCTGATATTCACCCTACTGTTGAAGTAATCTTCAAGCCTCTCTTCAATATTCTGCCCTTTCTTAGGTCGCATTAATAAATACATTCTCTTTAAATCCGGACAGCATCTTAACAATTTCTCCACCAAAACTTTCCCCAAAAATCCCGTTCCCCCGGTGACAAATATAGTTTTGTTTTTGTAAAACTCAGCAACGCCAATAGATGGCGTCATTTTTAAAAAATGATCTGAAACAATAAAATGTTTTAAATTTTTGCGATTGACAAAAATACTTTCTGATTAAATATTTACTTATGTATGTTTTAAATTTTAAACAATAAAAGAAGGCCATTTTGTTTGTTGTGATTTTTTTATATTAGATGCTTTATGTCACGTTTATGGCTTCACAGCTATTACATAGTTTCTATTTAACGTTTAACAAATACTTGGTATTCTGTATTTATATACAAAAATATAGGTAATCTAAGTAAAAATAAAATAAAGGGCGGTCTAGATATATTGTAAGCTTGTGCAATATATGAATAATTTAACGAACATCGCCGGGGCAACATCGTTATATGATTAAATATCATATAACGAGTGACGCCGCTGACTCCGCGGAACGAACACCAAGCGTGTGAACCAGAAGATTCCTGATACACACAAGCTATGGAATGGTATAGCTATTCTAACATCGGGTCAATCATGTAGTCTTAGGTGTAGGTTATAAGTTTTGATATGTAGTTCTTATTATATAATATACATAGAACTAAGTTTCGTAGTTTTCCTGGGACACTAGTTGACAGAAAAGCGCACACTTTATTTAACTAGCTATGTATGTATTTAATGATATCAATTTAATGGATTACTTACCAAAGACGATAAAAAGATATTATTGCTTTATTTAAAATGAATTAATGTTTTGATTACTTTACAGCAACCGTGATCACAGGCAGATGAGATGAAAGTCTGTCTGTTCAACTCGCTATTTGTCATCTACCGTCAACGATAGCTTAATTTTTAGCGTACTGCTCTGGTTGCACAAAATATTTCAACTGTTTTAGGTTTTTTCGGATATCTTAGCGTCATTTTTTCGGAATAATTACTACGTTTTGATACTGCTACTAAGAATTAAACTCTATACGACGCATTGCTAAACCTGGCCGCGATAGTTTATTGGTTATAGAGGCTTGAAAGCTAAAATTCGTTGGTAGCAGGTTCCTTTCTTGCTTGCAATGTTTTTTTCATTTATTTCATTCATTCTTGCATTTTGCAAACTATATATTGCAAGTCTTATCAATAAACTGTACAAATATTAACGATCATCAAGTATTAAAATAATATTTTGGTTCAAGGTAAAAATAAAATATAATAAAATCATTTAATTCACCTGATGGAAAGAATCTATTTGAAAACAATTCTCGACTTATTTTTTATGTGGGAAACTCGTATTATTTAAGATATTTTTTTATTATTTAATTTATGAATAAAGTGTACCTTTTCTAGACAAGGAAAACATAAAATCAAATACGAGTATATATGTATATAGGTTGTTTAGTAGGTGAGAACTGAGTAGCAATTGGAAAATGGCCTATAGAGGATAATATTGACTATTTGTTACGCCTTACTAAATAACATTTTGTCTTTTCTTATTGATTTAAACGGTACTGTTTTTCTAGAAAGTCCTCATTTCCTTGGAAAACTGAAATATCTTCTTTAACCGCCAAAACGTTAAAAAAGTATTGCACTCTTAAGTTTAGTTCTTTTTTTATCAGATACAATTATAGTTATACACAAACAAGTTAAAATGAAATAAATTTGAAGTATCAAACTTTAATAAATAGAAAAAATTCCGTATGTCATTAACACGGACATAAAATCTAAATTTACGATGTATGGCATTAAAAAGGGATCTTAAAAACTTCTTTAGGTAAATCTATCAAACGGTATGCAACATGGATTAATAATCTGGTAACTTTAAAAAACTTCAAAAGGATGAATAACTTATACTACTCTTTTTGCCTCTTAGAAGCACCCTTCGGGCTCGAATTAAATCTTATTGGTCCCATCAGAGCTACCCACTCCTCTTGATGACGCTGTCAAAGCCATTTATGCTAACAGCAATAGACAATTCGCAACAAAATTATATTATTTCATCTCCAAAAAATTATATATTGAAATTTATATGTGCTTTGTCAAAATACTCGTACAATTATCTTATTTCACAGTCTGTACTAGCCCTGAGCGTATATCAACTTTTCTAGTCTTGAAATTCCCCAAAAAAAATATAAAACGAAACAACGTTCTTGTCAGTTCGCGCAGTGACAGTAAGACTTTTTAATGACAGTAACTACTATTATAATAAATTAAAATGAAGATTTATTAATTTATTCCGTCGTATAATTAAATGTTCTTTTTTTATACTCATTGTATATACGAAATTCACTGCATAATTCATACGCTTTTCGTGTTAACTGACACATTTTAATCTGTAAAAATATAGTTTGTAATATGGCCGTCCGTCTTGTTAATATTTTGAATTAAATTAAATAAAATTAAATTAGCAATTAAATTCTAATATAATATAAAAATATTCATGTTAAATATTTATATATTTCCATAACAGTTATAGATTTTACCAACCTTCTCATAAACGAAATAAATTTTTAAAATATTTTTAATATTTAGTTTTAAATTAATATAATAGTCATAGTCAATGGTGGCCTAGTGGTTAAAACGCAACTGTAGTCGAATATACGATAATTTAAGTCAAGAAATATAATGTTTCATATTACATATAAGCTACTCTTCTTCTTCCTGGCAATTTCCCAGCTTTTAGCCAGGGTCTGCCTTACATGTTGTGAATAGTTTATTTTACGACCGACCGCCTGCCTGACATCAACCCTCTTTGGGAATACATTGATCAGTAATGTCTACATACTCTTAGAAAGTACATATGACTCGGAAAAATAACATAGATACTTGCCAGGATCGAACCCGCGCCCTCGTGCATGAGAGGCGGGCCTTTTAGCCACTAGACCACCACTGAGTCATGCATCTATGACATATAATAATTATTATTATAGATACTTACCAGTGAAATGTATACCAACGCGTCTAACTTTTGAGTTTAAACAGAAGTTATTGAGTTCGGACACGCAGTAAACAATGATTAATCAAATAAGTTTAACATTTCTAATATCGTTTATAAATACGTATTTGAATCATTCATGACATATAAATTACATAGAAAGGTCATAGAAGTATATAAAACAATATTAAATGTCTGTCTGTACGTAGATAATAGCTTAAATAGTCAGTGGTGGCCTAGTGGTTAAAACTAAAAGGCCCGCCTCTCATGCATGAGGGCGCGGGTTCGAAACCTGGCAAGTACATGTGATTTTTCCGAGTCATATGTACTGTCTAAGAGTATATAGACACCACTGACAGACGGTGAAGGAATATCACAATTATAAGTTTGAAATCACCAACCCGTCTTGAGCAAGCGTGGTGATTAATGCTCAAACCTTCTCCATGTGAGAATAGGCAGCTCAGCAGCGGGCTCTGATAGGCTGATGATGATTATTAATTGCGTAACAACTATATAATTTTTCTGTCTCATTAAAACTGATAGAAGGTTATTTATTAATCAAACTTAATAAATATAAGAGAAGTCGCAGGAAATGTATTGTATGGTCAGCATAATAAACATTCATTTTAGAATCAAATGAAATTTAAAAAAAAATTGTTTAAAAATCAAGGACGTAACCTTTAAAGTTACTCTTTTAAGTTTATAAGCATAAACATTTCCATAACATCAAAAATCCTATTATATATTTAAATTAACATTTTCGATGTTAAGTTAGTGGTGGCCTAGTGATTAAAAGGTCCGCCTCTCATGCGTGAGGACGCGGGTTCGATCCTGACAAGTACCAATGTGATTTTTAAGAGTCTTATGTACATTCTAAGACTATTTAGACATCACTGATTAATGCTGATTCCTAAAGAGGGTTGATGTCAGGCAGGCGGCCGGTCGTTAAAACAATTAGCCAAAACTATTCACAACATGTAAGGTAGACCCTGGCTATAGCTGAGAAATTGACAGGTAGAAGAAGATTTTTGATGTTAAGACATTTTGTATGCAATTGTTTTTAGTTTTTAAGGTACTTATACTGCATATATTTTTCTTTGACTCATTGAAAAGTAAATAAAATATGAAATTGATGTCATTGAAATAAACTATGTGTAGAGGTGGATATAGTATTTAGGAGTATTTAAGTTTTTCAGTGAAGTAGTCATAGCACAAAACAGAACTGAGGTTTTTGTATATGATATCTCTACACCTTTTTTCATTTCCTTTACCTAGCACCAAACGTGATTCCCCTTCCCCCGTTTACCACTACGCTTCAGATATTTCACTCAATCTCATAATTGTTAAATTATAATTAAGCTTTGAATTAAAATGATATACTACATTCATTATATTATTAAGAAAAATAGAATAAAACGAATTACTTTTTCATTATCTTATATAAATTCTATTAATACACAGAAATATCTTGTTACGTACGCACTACCACCAAGCCGTGTGAACCAGAAGATTCCTGATACACACAAGCTATGGAATGGTATTGCTATCCTAACATCGGGTCAATCATGTAGTCTTAGGTGTAGGTTATAAGTTTTAATATGTAATTCTTATTAGGTATAATATACATATACCTAAGTAAGTTTCGTAGTTTTTCTGGAACCTCCGGTTGCCAACCCTATAATTATCTTGAAAATATTATTTTAATTGGCATATCAAAATAAGCTTAAGTTGTTTATCTGAGGACAGCTCTTACAAGAAATAGTTTTATTATCTGTATTCACTTTAGTCTATACTCATGTATCTTGTCTATGATCACTGCGAATTGTGGAGAATGAAGTTTCTGGTTTTGTTCAAATGAAATCAATTTCATTTAATATAAGAAGAATCCTATATAAAACTCAAAAAGTTACCAAAATATAAAAACGAGGTACAAATTCCAAAATTTACAAAATAACTTCAAACAAATAAAATAAAATTAGTTAGTCAATTATGATTTCTAGAGTCAGTGGATGCAATGAAACCAAAATTTAAATTGATTATTTAATTTTAAAGCTAAATTACAATTAATTGGGTCCACTATATTGTACGAAGGGTGAAGAAATAGTGACACAATATTCTTAAAAGGAATAAAACTAAAAAGTCTATTTACACGGAACTGAGACAAATCCGTGTAAAAAGAACGAGTTTACTTAGAAGCTAAAGGCGACCTATTACACCGTTATTATCTTCATATTTTAATTTAACTATCATTATGACACCGTCGCGTAACAAGTTGGTACGTTAAAACAGAAAAATAAAAAAAACAGTATTAAAAAATCAACATTTAATATTGTAATATAAAATCATGTATATAAATATATTACAGTTTTTAAATAATATTAACAGTGGCAATAATAAAAGTACTCTGAAATGTATGTATAGCACTACTTTCACGAAGATAGATGTGTATGTTTGTCACACATAATATGGAGAAAACAAAGTCGCAAAACAAAGATTTGTGTCAGGGAGTTTGTAATTTTAGAAGAACAGGTAGATATACATGTAAGTCAGTGGTAGCTCAGTGGTTAAAGAGCCCGCCTCTCGTTGCCGAGGGCGCGAGTTCGATCCTGGCCCGGGCAAGTACCAATGTGATTTTTCCGAATCATATGTACTTTCTAAGAGTATTTAGACATCACTGATTAATGTTGATTCCCAAAAGTGGGTTGATGTCAGGCAGGCGGCCGGTCGTAAAAACAAATAGCCAAAAACTATTCACAACATATAAGGCAGACCCTGGCTATAGCTGGGAAATTGCCAGGTAGAAGAAGGTAGATATACATGTATAATAGATGTGAAAGTAGACCAGCGTGTACTTCTACTGAATGTAACAGTGTAGCGTTTTTTAAAACTGCTATATCGAGCACGTCGGGATTTCTAGATTGTCCATCATTTTGAAGATATCGCGTCGGTTCTTCTACAGCTGCAATCTTTATGTCGAAATCTTGATTATCTCTAAGGCAATTGAGAGTTTTATCTCGTGCTTTAATGCATTCGAGTTCAATGAATGTTTTTTTATTACAACGAGGTAAAACTAGCAGACGGCCTAACATATAGTTTTTGCGGATGTGTTGCCACCTTCGGATGTATTCACATTTAATTTTCGATATGTGGATAAACTATCATCAGCCGACTATTGAAGAAAATAGTTCACCTGCCTATTGTTAATTTAATTTAATTTTTTTTATTTTATTTAATAGGGAGCCAACGTGATACACAAAAACTTATAACTACATTATATAAAAAACTTACTAGATACAATAAAAAACATTCAATAACTTGAGTTGACTTCTAAGACTACAACAACCATTTAGCCACTATCACAAACCGAATTAAACTTGTACATAGTATCTGTAATAGAAAAAAAAGATGTTTTAATATCTTAAAGAAGCAATGAAGGATATTTATACCCAGTATGAAACAGTTGGCATTTAAGTAACAATTGGCAATGTATTTGTTAGCTCAAGCATTAAAATTGTTAAAATGATCTAATTATTTTGAAAGTATTCATTAAAATGAAACTAATATTTTCAGATTACTACGTATAATTTTATTTTAAAAACTATACAGTCCCAATGTTTCGATTACTTTTCACATATCTCGTCTGCCCATGATCACGGTTGCTACAAAATAATCGAAATGTCGGGAGTATGTAGTTTTAAAATAAAAGTAACGCATAGTAAACCGAAAATGTTAGTTTCATTTAAATAAATATCGAGATAATCTGTTTTTATAGTGAAATCAGTTATTAACATAAAAAAATTCATTTGTATTCATATTTAATATTAAATATTTTATTATATTAAGTATTCTTCCTGGGCGTTTTCTTTACATTTCTTTGGATCTTAATTAAAAATCCTTTTTCCTTCTAACGTTATGACGTTAATTATAACAATATAAGTATTCAATTCTTTCTAAACCTAAATTATAAGAAAAAGTATTAAATTCTTTTTCTTATAATTGTGAGAATTCAGTCAAAAAAAGAATTTTTTGATTGGTTGGTTGTTTAAAATATGGGACTCAACCGTGCAAAGACAATTTTTTGATGAGGGTTAAAACATCGAAATATACTAATGGACATGCCTTAGAGATGAGAATTGTGGCACTCCGAAAGAAAGAGAGGAAACGATGTCTCGGTCTCTCTTTATCTCTCTCAATATAGTACCGTACTTAAGACGTTATGAGCCCCTTCTGGACAATTTATATGCCGTGCTTGTCATGAAAACTGAGCGCCAATCATCTATGAGGAAAGAGATAGTGCTAGAGTGTAGACCTAAAGCATATGCCATCTCTCTCACTCTTTTCAAACCAAAAAATTACTGCAGATTATACGGCACGTCCATTAGTAGGTATATGTCGATGTGTAAAAATGTGTACCAGGTGCTAATCACCACGTAAAAAAGAAAAAAAAGGTGCTAATCTCCACAGATTAAATAGAAAAATTGTGATGCATATTAAAATAAATGATTTATAATAGTTCGTATATTATAAACGAATAAGTACAATATAAGAAATAAATTCGTATGAAATAATAATATTATTCTCAATACTTTTATAAGTACCTTGGAGTTCGCATTACTTAAACATTGTTTTATAGTTTTGATTCCATTTGCACCTAAGGTTCGGAAAGAGCAATACTATTGCTTGAGTTATCATTAATAATATTACATTTTATTTAGTTAATAATAAATAATAACGGTAGGAAATTTTATATAGTAATAAGAAATAACAATTAAGATAATATTTTGCTTAAATTCTTCGCAAATTATCGAATAAACAATAATCATGACTTCCTTCTCACTAAATTACTATTATATAAAAGAAAGTTCTACTTTTATTAATATAAAGCTATCTTTATCATTAACGGCTTGAAACGTTTATTGTTTCTAATAATAATAATATGTAACAGTTTATAAAATTATTATCTTTTAATTCCTATTTAATTGTAATCTATGAAAAATATTTTATTCGGATGTTTTTAGTATTATGTTGGTTTCTTTCTCTGTCGAAATATTTATTGTTCAAAGTTCCAAAGAAAAATATATATTGCATTTTTTTTTTGTTGATATTGAAAATATGTTTTAAAAATAAAATAACATTAAACACATATCTTAAGGGCGTTATAGATATCTTACATTTATATTATATAAATATGTATTTAGAAATTAAACAAACACATTATTTATTTTCCTGTTTCCACACAAGTGTCGTGTCAAAAGTTTAAGACAACAGGATTGTCAATAATGACATGACATGTCAATCGCCTTGTTGTGGAATTATAAATAAGTTTTTGATTATAGTCCACTTTAAGTTATTATTATTGCGGCAACTTTTAAAGAATAACATTTAAGCTTGATACATTTGCGGTTACAATATTTATATACGAGTATAGGTAACCCAAAATGTCTGACAACATAGAAAACTCCGACGCGCCTAGCTCACCAAAAATTGAATTTAAAAAGCCAATACTTTTCGGAAAGATTGGTAAACTACCGAAAAAGTCGAAAGCGGAGCCTAGTACAGAAACAGAAGAAAAGAAAGAAGATGAAAAAAGTGAGAATATTAATGAAGGCAACTCCAAAAGTTCGTTACCGCCTGCAGTTTTGCTGAAAGAATTGTCTACTCCGATACCATACAAGGAGCCTAAATGGTCTGGATTTTGTCCTGATGGTAATAACACGATCTATACATTATTAAATGATTATTATGACTATGATTTTATGTAGTTTTTACCTAAAACTGTTCAACCAAAGGGTATTTTGTTACCCATTAATAATCAATTGAACATAATTTTTTTCAACTCAGTATTTGGTTTTATTTAAATAATTGGTGTCTGCTGATAGATATTTAATTATTGGTGACTTTCTGAGATTTTCATATAAATATATATTAAGTAAAGACTTACATTCTGAGTACAATTCAGCTAATTTTGAATCCTTGCTTCTCGGAATATACTACTTATGTGTTAACCTTATTTTTGACCAACACCAATTAATACCATAATATTAATAATTCAAAGTCAATTATTCTATAATTTTTTGTATTATATAAATAAATCTAGCTAAACTAATTCTACTGTAAATGTAGATGATAACTTTTATTACTAATTATAATTTTTATATCATTTACAGGATCCGACTATGCATTAGAAGTATTGAAATCCGGTATGATCATGGAAAAAATTGATCTTACGAAGAAGTCATATTATGTTTTTGGACGTCTTGCAAATTGTGATGTTGTTATGGCACACCCAACTATATCCAGGTACAAGGGTTTATATATATGTAGAAAGAAAATGATGAATGTTCAAAAGTTAAAGGAATGAAGTTCCTTTAAACTTAATAATAGTTTTAATCGGGAATAATTAGTCTAGGGACCACATTATAGCACGGGAATAATAATTAATTTCTTTTCACATATTAATTATCTAAAGTGTCTATGTTAAGCAAGCGAAGTACAACTAATGCACCGAGCCACGCCAGAACCACGACTGAATTTAGAATAATCGTGCACACCTTTTATACCGGCACAAATATACTGCAAAAATATTTGATACACCGAGGGGCTTTTTCTATATGCTCAAGTAAAATAATGATCAGATTAAACACTAATTTAAACCCGAAATTTGAGATCAAATTTCTGACTATCATTCAATATTCAATAGAATTAGGTTTGTCGTGGATTTGTTCTCAGTAGAAGCGAGAGCCGTTATAGGCTAAATCTCTCTACAATCTATTAAAAGACTTGAGCCTATCCAGAACTAATATCAGTTCTTTCTTAGAATTTACTTCAAAGGAAATCCTAGTAGGTTCTTTTCAAATTTGGTTAGGTATAGAGAGAGGAGCTTGTACGGTGCACGTGAGCGTTTAACACATGTTAGAGAGGATTCCTTAAACCTACACCTGGGTCACAAGTCCCAGTCACTGTTGAAGCTCCTCTCACTACAACGATGGACCCGACACACGCACCGTGAATACATGGAATGATGAGAGGTTTCGTCTCTCTATATATATTAAACCTACACCTGGGTCACAAGTCCCAGTCACTGTTGAAGCTCCTCTCACTACAACGATGGACCCGACACACGCGCCGTTAATATATAGAATGCTAAAGTTTCTTCTTATTGATGTTACCGATAACTCATTAGTTTACATGTATAACCTGTTTTATATATATATATATATATATATATATATATATATTATTATTATTGCATAATGGTAACAATTTTTCAGACATCATGCCGTTCTCCAATACAAAGCCTTCGCTAATGATGATGAACCAGCATCTGGTTGGTATTTATTCGACCTCGGGAGCACCCACGGCACATTCTTAAACCGGGATAGGATAAAAGAACAACATTACACAAGAGTCAGGGTCGGACATCAGATAAAATTTGGTTCAAGCACCAGAACTTACATTGTATTGGTGAGTTATATTTTTAATTATATTATATACTAGCTTCACCCGCGTGGAGTTCGGTTATATCGCGTTTACAAGAGAAACTCTCAAAGGTCTAGGATAAAAACTATCCTATGTTCTTTCTCAAGGTCAACTCTATCTCTGTACCAAATTTCATTAAAATCAGTTCAGTGGTTTAGGCGTGAAAGCGTAACAAACAGACAGACAGAGTTACTTTCGCATATTTTATGATATTAGTAGGGATGATAGGAATAAAATTCACATATATGCTTTTTGCATACTTTCTTTATCTTCTTCTACCTGGCAATTTCCCAGCTATAGCCAGGGTCTGCCTTACATGTTATGAATAGTTTTTGGCTATTTGTTTTTACGACCGGCCGCCTGCCCGACATACTTTCTTTATATTATTGTAGAAAGTTTGGATTCATTGTTTTGATTCATTTGTCTTAAATAATATAGATATATGTTATAACCAGCTAGCAGCGCTATCTATGGAGTAATTATCCAACTTTGCCATGACGATCTTTTAATTCATCATAATCATTGTCATTCTGCTCTCTGAGATATATCATTTGGAATTTTCATCAAAATCAACTAAGTAAATTTTGTGTGACAGCTATTAACATATATATTAACTATACATCCTGATGAACTTTTCTATGATTAAATTTGATCTTATTTTTACTAATTCTTCTTTAATTCTGAAGTTTTTTCATAGACTGTTTTCCTTATGAGTTCCTAATCAGTAGTTTGTGAGTATACTCTAAAGTCATGACTTTCTGTAGGTCTAAGAGAATCATAAATCCTGGAATAGTCCATCTGTTTGGTGTGTAATACTGTAATCCTATGAGTTCTGATGAATTTATTTGTTTTATCTAACTTGTGAATGAAATAACCATGAGATACCTAGATATTGTATGTTATGGACCAAGTGTTAAATTGATAATTTCTCATAAGTACCGGATAGTCAGAAAAATGCTTAATATGAGAGGGCAATTTGATATTAATTATTTAATAAAGTTACTGAGTATTATACATAATGTTCACTACCTTTTCGGCAGAGTTAAGAAATACATTTGTTTTTAATATCACTTTTATTAGGTTAGATTTAAATAGAAATTAATCAAATTGTCCTTTAGTGCTAGTCATTTTGAATAATGACAGAATTTATCACTTGCCCTATAACATATAAACCAAAAATATTACTTATGTTTATACTTAAAAACTATGTATTTTTGAAATATTGTTTATTCATTAATGAACATTGATTTGGAAATATGAATATTGTAAATATTGCATGAGAAATGTGTTTCAATATGCCAGTTCCAATTAGATATCTTCTTTTAAAATTTAAACAGGAAATGTATGTATAAGAGATTTAATTTTTAAACAATATATACATGGATATACAATTTTAAATTATTAATATGCATGTATGTCATATGAATAAATTTTTCAGGGTCCAGATTTTGATGCCGATGGTGAATCGGAATTAACAGTCACCGAAATAAAACAGAGGGCGCTTAACATGAAGTTAGAAAGAGACAGAATGATAAAAGAAGCCATAGAACAGAGAGAGAGAGATAGAGTGGAGGAGGAAAAGAGGAGGGAGGAACAAGGAATTGACTGGGGAATGGGTAGGAATGAGGAATTTGTTATCATTAAAAATGAACCATGATATACAGGGTGACTGGTGAATTACTATTGATATTTGAGGAGGTGATATTTGACGATCATATATGACGAAATAAAAATGAATATAACATAAATATAAATAAACTTCTAAGTAAAGTTAACCAAAAGTTGTGTAATTAATTACGCATCGTATGAACACCCTACAGATTACTCTACACTACACACTCACACATACGCGCGCGCCGGCGTGTTGTTGTATCAGCACGCCGCCGCACGCGTCCACACTAGGAACAATTGGAACGTGTACACACTTTATTTATTTATACGGAAATTTGGTCAAAAATTAAGTACCTATTTTTTTTACATAATTCGAATGAGAATCATGTACCGAGTATGCTCCTTAAATATTGATAGTAATTCACCAGTCACCCTGTATATACATATATATACTAGCTGCACCCCGCGATGTTACCCGCTGATTTCCGGGATGTAAAGTATCTTATGTGTTATTCCTGGACGTCAGCTTCCTGTATACAAAATTTTATCAAAATCGCTTCAACCGTTTGAGCGTGCAGAAGTAACAAACACACACACTCACAAACTTCCGCAATTATAATATTAGTAGGATATACATAGCGTGTAATACATATAATATATATGATGATAATTCCCAGGCGAGGATGCTGATGATGAGCCGGATCTATCAGAGAACCCGTACGCCTGCACAGCCAATGAGGAGCTGTTCTTGGACGACCCGAAGAAAACATTACGAGGATACTTTGAGAGGGAAGGTTTAGAATTGGTGTATGATTGTGATGAACGAGGAATCGGTCAATTTCTATGCAGGTATGATAAAAATGTTCTAGAATTAATTTCTTCAGGTTAAATATGGGTATATTTAACCCTAAGAAATTGTGTATTTATGTACCAAAAAGAAAAAATAGTTACAATTAAAGTATCATAAAAGAAATGTGATGTACAAAGGATAACTTATCTCTTAAAAGAGAATTCACCAGAAACCCTTTTGATAAAGGAAATGAGAAGAGAAATTAATTGTGTCTCTGTGTAAAATATTTTGTGATTTTGTTATATTCATCATCATCCTATCAGAGCTCACTGATGAGCTGTTTCTCACATAGAGAAGGTTTGAGCATTAATCACCACACTTGCTCAAGACGGGTTGGCGATTACAAATTTATAATTTGATTATAAGTCCAGGTTTCCTCACGATGTTTTCCTTTATCTGTTAGTGGTGTCTAAATACTCTTATAAAGCACATATGACTCGGAACAATCACATTGATACTTGCCAGGTTTCGAACCTGCGCCCTCATGCATGAGAGGCGGGCCTTTAACCACTAGGCCACCACGTGTATATCTATTAAAGTCGTTAATACAACCCAACCTAATATTCTAGCTATATACATATACTATCTTTCCGCCCGCAGCTTCGCCCGCGTGGATATCGTTTATATCGCGTTTCCAAGAGAACCTTCAAAAGGCTGAGATAAAAACTATCCTATAATCTTTCTCAAGGTCAACTCTATCTCTGTACCAAATTTCATTAAAATCAGTTCAGTGGTTTAGTCGTGAAAGCGTAACAGACAGACGGACAGAGTTACTTTCGCATTTATAATATTAGCAGGGATGATTATACTGGACTTATAATTTCCAATTATAAGTTTGAAATCGCAAACCATCTTGAGCGAGCGTGGTGATTAATGCTCTAACCTTCTCCATGTGAGAAGAGGCTCAGCAGTGGGCTCTGATAGGCTGATGATGATATAAATTATAATTTCTTTTTCAGAGTGGAACTCCCTCTAGATGATTCTAGAGGCAGGCCGTTAGTAGCTGAAGTACTTCACAAGGGAAAGAAAAAAGAGGCTGTTGTGGCGTGTGCTCTGGAGGCTTGTAGGATATTAGATAGAGCGGGGCTGTTACGACAAGCTAGACATGGTATGATATATCTTTATATATATAAAAATTTCGGGATACGTGTTTGTCCGCGATGGACTCCTAAACTACTAAACCGATTTTAAATTTGATATGCATTCCATGTGCATTTTGATCCAACTTGAAAGATAGGATAACTTACATCTCAATTTATAGTCACAATATTATTTAATTGCAAATTATTTGTCTCTTAAAGAAAATTATTTGTCATTATTACAATTATTTGTTGACTGAGTTAAGTATTCAATAGATGGGACTATGTTAAAAATACAAACGTCATATATGAGCGACTATTTAATAATAGCATAATCACCACGTGTTTCTCAGGCTAAGGTATAAACTAAATTTATTTATTAAAAAAACGTAACAGATATTTCTTGATTATAGGGCGATACGAAGTTCGCCGGGTCTTCTAGTATATATATATATTCTTATATTCTTCATCGCAGAATCCCGCCGTAAGAAACAACGCGATTGGTCAGCGGATGACTACTACGATTCAGATGAAGACACCTTCCTGGACAGAACCGGGAGTGTGGAGAAGAAGCGACAGGCCCGTATGGAGAAGAACGGACTCAAAGAAGCGGAGAAACCTTTGACATATGAAGATTTGGTTAGTAGGGGGGATGGATTTGGATTTGAGTGATATACGGGGTGACTGGTGAATTACTATCGATACTTGAGGACGTGATATTTGACGATCATATATGACAAAATAAAAATTAATATACATAACATAAATATTAATAAACTTCTAAGTAAAGTTAACCAAAAATTATGTAATTAATTACGCATCTTGTGAACACCCTACAGATTAGGTATACACACACACACACACACGCGTGCGGCGGCGTGGTGTTGTATCAGCACGCCGCCGCACGCGTCCACACTTGGAACGTGTCCACACTTTATTTATTTATACGGAAATTTGGTTAAAAATTAAATACCTATTTTTTTTTACATAATTCGAATGAGAATCATGTACCGAGTATCCTCCTTAAATATTGATAGTAATTCACCAGTCACCCTGTATATAGATAAAAAGTCAGTGGTGGCCTAATGGTTTAAAAGTGCCTCTCATGCACGAGGACGCGGGTTCGATCCATGCATGTACCAATGTGATTTTTCCGAGTCATATGTACTTTATAAGAGTATTTAGATATCACTGATTAATCAACAAAGAGGGTTGATGTCAGGCAGGCGGCTGGTCGTAAAAACAATTAGCCAAAACTATTCACAACATGTAAGGCAGATCCTTGCTGAAGCTAGGAAATTGGCAGGTAGAACAAGACATGTATAGATTTAAAACTTATTTTATATATAATTAATTATATTATTATCATAATTACCAGTCATAATATCAATACTATGGATTTGTCAGTGAATTGAGTTAAATATAGATTTAAAATGTATTCAAAGTTTCAGTTTTATATGACACAATATAATTATTACAAGAATAACTAAGATTTCTGTCTTTTTTAAAACTATATTTAAACTTCTAGTCTAAATGTTTTAACTATATTGTTTACTAGCTGCGCCCCGCGGTGTTCCCGGATTTCCGGGATGTAAAGTACCCCATGTGTTATTCCGTCCGTCAGCTTCCTGTATACAAAATTTTATCAAAATCGCTTCAGCCGTTTGAGCGTGAAGAAGTAACAAACATACACACTCACAAACTTTCGCAATTATAATATTAGTAGGATAATATTTAATTAATTTTTTTTCACAGCTAAAACAAATAACAGATATTGAGAATAAAATAGCTACAGAAGAAAAGCTTCTAGAAGGACTGAGAGCTAACAAGAAGAATGAAATAGTGAATGATGAAGAAGATGCATTAGATAAATACATGAACACTCTACACACAGGGCAGAGTATGGCGCAGAAGGCTGAAATATCTAAAGCTAAGGTAATAGTATTGAATATTTCCTATTTATCACTTCTGAGATCTAAGACTTTCTTATAATATTATTTACTTCTCTTTGAAAACACAAAACTCACTTACATGACAAAATTTATAAATAGAAAGAAATAATATTATAAAGTAAATTTATAAATAGAAAATAATAATAATGCGAGGAAAACACAAAAAGAGTTTATCATCACATGACAGAGACGAATCCTCTCATCATTCAATGTATTCACGGCAAAAAATATCTTGTATTGAAAGAACGAAATAAGTTTTAAAACATTAGCTTTCCGCCCGTAGCTTCGCCCGCGTGGAGTTCGGTTATATCGCGTTTCCAAGAGAACCTTTCAAGTCTTTGATAAAACTATCCTATGTTCTTTCTCAAGGTCAACTCTATGTCTGTACCAATTTTCATTAAAATCAGTTCAGTGGTTTAGGCGTGAAAGCTTAAGAGACAGACAGACAGAGTTACTTTCGCATTTATAATATTAGTAGGGATATAATATTGTTGTTTTGTTTCTAGATGAGCATACAGAAGCTGAAAGCGGATCTATCAAAAGCCCGTCGTCTGTGTGAACTAGCTCGCCCCGCGGATGCTCCTCCTCTTCTCAAGAAGAATAACTCGCCCGCCGTCAAACAGACACACGACGTTATATATGGCAAGAGGTAGGATATAGAATGAAAGACAAACATGACTCATATACAATATGTTATAATAGAATATATATATATTAAATAAACCACAAAAAATAATAAAAGCATAATATATATCGTCCCTAAACTTACAAAACTGCTTAAGTCATTTTTACCAACTTAACGAGAGGAAACAAACTTAAGAAATAATTATTTATACATATTTTGACGATTTCGGTTCGACGCGCAATGCACAGCTTCATCCAATTGTATTAAAATGTATAAATCGACAATTTTCGACTTGGTGTTGTAAACTAAGGGACGATATATACAGGGTGACTGGTGAATTACTATCGATATTTGAGGACGTGATATTTGACGATCATATATGACAAAATAAAAATTAATATAACATAAATATTAATAAACTTCTTAGTAAAGTTAACCAAAAGTTATGTAATTAATTACGCATCGTATGAACACCCTACAGATTAGGTATACACACACACTCACACATACGCGTGCGGCGGCGTTGTGTTGTATCAGCACGCCGCCGCACGCGTCCACACTTGGAACACTTGGAACGTGTCCACACTTTATTTATTTATACGGAAATTTTGTCAAAAATTAAGTGCCTATTTTTTTTACATAATTCGAATGAGAATCATGTACCGAGTATTCTCCTTAAATATTGATAGTAATTCACCAGTCACCCTGTATAGTGTTGAAAATTATGCAGGAGAAAATAGTTTCCCATTTTGATATGACAAAAATTAATAAATATGCTCAACATGCAGTTCTTTGTAAAAAAAAAAACATAATTACGTAATAAAAACGATGCAAAAATCTGTTATAAGATTTTACGCTATTATTACAAAAAATTAAACAATAATAATTATCAATTTACAAACAGAATTAACACTTTAATGAAAACGCCATCTATTATTAAATATCTGTAATATTTAAGAAGCTAATTTATTAAATTATTTCAGGATACGGTTAAAAGACGATAAACCAAAACCCAAAATCATTAAACAGAGCAAGCAAGAAGAAGAATTTGTTGAGGAAATGGATTCGGATGAAGATGAAACAAAATGTACAACCATCGAGAAAAATGAAACAAAATCTGAAAATCCGATCAAAAAAGAGACTTCGGTTGAAAATAAGAAATTATACGGACCTATGAGACCTCCGGAGAATTACGTTGTACCTGAAAATTATTTTGACCAAGAAACAGACAGAGATCTACCGGAAATTGAAGAAAAAGTTGAATAAAATTTTATCAGAATATGTCTTTATATTCAAATACCATTATGAACAACAAAGCAATTTTGATAAATAGGCATAATACTTTAGTAAATACATGTTATGGAGATTTTTTACTTTATTGCAAGCTGAAATTCTCATATATATGTATGTATATTAGCTGGTTACCGAGCTTTACTCGGTATTTAGGAATTATTAGTATTTATTTTGTGTTTTTTCATTTCGTTTAGGCATTTTTAAGTGAACACGTTAAGAAGACACAAAACAATTAATTTATTAGTCAAACCTCAAAACAAACACTCATTGACTTCCTGGTACTTAACATCGCCATCTGCTGTTGTGTCACTAAAGCAATTAGCAAAAAGTAGTATTACTATTTGCCAACAGATGTCAGGAAGAGTCATAGTTTAAACGACTCCTTTTTGTAATTTGTTTTCATTTAATCACATTTTCTAAAAATAATTCCTAGCTAGATAGATTTATTGCCCCCAAAAACCCCATATAATATACTAAATTTCATGAAAATCGCTGGAGCCAATTCCAAGATACCAATTAGATAGATATATACAAGAATTGTTCTATTTTAATATATGTATAAGATAATATATAATTGATATGAAACTTCAGTTAAAATTAAGTTTGTAGAAATTTGATATATTTGTCATACAAGCGGGACTTAAACTTTTTACCTTCAGAATAAAATTAAACTTGTTGTATATAGAATGGTTACTTCACTTACTATGGAGTACATAGCTTTATAGTTTATGTGGCTGCAATGAGTTTTACTAAAAGTCACAGGTTCAAATCCAGTCTGTGTTATGAATTTTGATTTCAATATCTTTCATTGCAATATTATTTCATGTATATGTGTATATATATATTTCAATTCTTCAGATTAAAAAAAATAATTTACTCTTCTTCCTGGAAATTTCCCAGCTTTAGCCAGGGTCTACCTTACTAATAGTTTTGGCTAATTGTTTTTACGACCGGCCGCTTGCCTCTTTGGGAATATACAATTGAGTTTACACCTAAGTAAATATTCTATATATATCTTCTAAATAACACTTTTTATAATAAAATATGGCTATCATATCTTTAATGACGATAAACGCGAATGCTGGTATTACTATAACAATAATAATTTATTTATTAACACCCATGAAATAATGTACATAATTTGTTTTTTTAGCTTAATAACTAAATCTAGGGTTATTACATTGTCATTTTTGTAGTATACCTCTGACTCTAAAATTAATATAAATTGTGATATTAGAGTCAGCGAATCATCAACAATTAATTGCGCACTAGACTTTTAGAACGGAATGATTTTAAAGGTGTTGTAAAAAAAACAAAAGTTTATATAAAAAGAAATGAAGAGAAAAAAAATAAAAGCAAACAATTTAATCAAGTTACAATTAAACAATTTAATCAAGCAAACAATTTAATTACTCTAAATAATAAGATAATAAATTTCATATTATTAATATTTTGGAAATAAAAAAGTCATTGCGGCCTTGAGGTAGATGCCCACCTCTCATGCATGAGGGTGCGGGTTCGATCCTGGCAAGTACCAATGTGATTGTTCCGAGTCATATGTACTTTATACGAGTATTTAGACATCACTGACAGACAGTGAAGGAAAACATTGTGAGGAAACATGGACTTATATCAAATTATAAGTTTGAAATCACCAACCCGTCTTGAGCAAGCGTGGTGATTAATGCTCTAACCTTCCCCATGCGAGAAGAGGCCTTTACTCAGTAGTTTGTTCCGATAGGCTGATAATGAATGTTTTAGAGATTATTCAAGCAGTTGATATCAGAAATTATAATTTAGGATACTAAAACCTTAATCTTGTGATCAATTGATTAAAATTTTGACCTAACAAATCTTTTTCCATTCATTCATGTCTTAAGATTTCTTAAATGTGAGGCATTAATATTTGTAAGTTTGGATTGTACATATTATAAAACAAGAATATCGAAAATAATTTGACTAAATTCATCAAAGAAAAGTGAGCATAATAGATTTTGTATAGTATGAAAATGCTATACAATAAACTTTGTTAAAAATACATTTGTATGTAGGAAATATTTATTTAGTGTGTGAAATGTTATTTTTATAATAAATAATTATGTATCGTAGTATATATGCAAATAAAAAAAGGATCGTAATGCAATTATTATTCAGAACAGTAATAGACACTCAATTTAACGGAATCTTGCTATTATAGTCTTATTATGTGACGCTTACCAAATAAGGTGCGATAGAATAAGCACAAATTTATCACAAAAACCTTTATTAGTGAGACTTACATTTAAATATATGTACATAGTCGTATATTGCCAAAGACACTTGTTTACGATAAAATTGTGAGGTTAGGTCTATCTTGTGGAAACCGTCGCTTCCTTCCTCGCAGCATCTTGGAGTAGTTGAGTATCCACTTCATCAGCAGGCAATTGAACATAACGGACGACGGAACCACGAATAAAACAGTTTTTCACTGATAGCATGTGAGGATATTTGTCTGGGTCGATCACACTTATATCGGACAGTTTAATGTTTAAATACTGATCAACAGAATGCAAAGTACCGCATATACTGAGATCATTCTTAAGTTCAACGACTACATCTTTGCCGACGAGCGATTTAAAGAAAGAATAAAATAGCATTTTTGTTTGTTTTGAACTATGGAAGCGGCAAAAGTAATCTATCTATCGGTAATGATAGATATGTTTTGACAAGTAACTATTGTCTATTATTCGAAATAAATCAATTGTCTATGAAATGCAATTGTATAAAAAAAAACCCTGGTTTATATAAAAATTGTTAATTTATAAAAATTATTTATCTTTGTTTTATATTATTAATAGTAGATCCAATTAGTAAATATTAAAATTAATTTTATTATATTGTAATTTATGAAATTAAATATATTTTGGATTGATTGAGAGCTATCTGCATTGCACCTTATTGTTATATCAATTTTACTACGCTAGTCTGCCAAAAAGGCATCTTTTTCAGTAAAAATAAATGTGAAGCTAATTATAATATTTAATTTATTTATATCATAATTAAATGTGAGTAAAGTTAAGAAATAATTTTAATAAAAATCATTCGTGTAACGAATTTTTGTTACCATTATGAAAAATTCTAAGCTTAATGTCAATTTTCATATATCATAAAAGTACAACCGCAAATCCATGGCGTTATGTTTGAGGCGTCGAACAATTTTAGTTCTCAATTCATAGTTTTAGCAAATAAATAAATTTAAATTGTTTTATTTTTATTTGATATGTACATAGTTATAGTTTCGGAAGTCTAGACTAACGCTAGGATATATTTAGTTTGCACTAAAGTAACAACAGCAAAATGAACGATGAGAATGCAGAGATTGTAAGTAAAAAATCAAGCATTGCTATTGTTTGTGATTAGAAATGTATATATTTATTTTCGGTTCTTAGGACTGGGGTAATGAGAGGTTAAGCCGAGCCCAACGCGCGGTTGAAGCAAACACGTATGATGTAGATTCGTGGTCTCTTTTGATACGGGAAGCACAAACCCGGCCTATAAATGAGGTCAGAACGATGTATGAGAAGCTCATTACAGCTTTTCCGACAACAGGCAGATATTGGAAGATTTATATCGAACAGGAGGTATGATTTCGACCTAGACTTGACAAAAAAAAAACTCGAATTATCTATTGCATTACATGTAAATATATCGTAGTTTTACTAAACTTTATGTATTTACAGATGAAAGCGAGAAATTTTGAGAAGGTCGAAAAGGTTAGTAATATGGTAGCATAAACAAAACTGTGATAAAACATATCTGATATCTGTGATAAAAAAATGTCTTCGGACTATTTTCAACTTGTAATAGATGTAAGTGAAATAAATAATACAGAATATGATGATTTCATGTTTTTTTTCGGTTAGGGTGTCTGTGTTCAGACATGACGGAGGAGATTTTCATTGGCAAATGTTATATAAATAGAAAATACAGTCGGAAATGTAATCATATTGGTCATGCATACATTTTTGTTAATTACTTGGTGTACTTGAACGAATATTTTATTATACTACGCGACTTAAACGCTATGCTGAGAGAATTTGTCTCTCTTTGTGTAAATTACATACTTCGGAAGTTATGACTATTTGGCGTACTAATCACCTACTTAGCTATTAATCATGTAATTTGCCATAGAAGATCACTTTCGACATGTAATTATCCCTATTTTGATATTTTATGTTCATATAATTATTGTTATTTATATTATAAAGGAATTTTCCTATAATTTGATAGACAAAGGGTTTGTATACATGATTATGTCAAATTAATATGTGATGATTGACTAAATTGTACTGAAAATACTGGAATTGAGATTTTAGATTGGCATTTACTTAGCTGTTCAGTTTGATAGAATTTTTTACATACAAATGTATGTATGTCGGAGTTAATTGTGTTTCCATGGTGAAGGTAGAGGAAATACATAATTTATCAAGTCGTCAAGCTATTTATAATTCTTTTATAGTGAATATAGATTTAACTTGTACCAAAGAGTGTGATTTGAATGTGTGTTGAGAATTAATCAGTGAATTGTGATAGAATTATGGTGTGATATTTAGATATCTCATAATATATTTATTTATATATAATAAATTATTATATTTATTTATGTATCAAAAGTAATAGTTACATTATTGTAAAAGGAATGTGATGCACATAGTTATTGCTTAATTGCCATTATTGAAATGGCTTCTGTTTTAAAGTAAAATTAAAATTTTCTTTTATTATATATTCACAAATTCTCAGTTGATATTGGCTTCAACTTAAATAAAAATCGGATTTTCCATAAATTTATTAGAAAAAGAAGTTATTTATTTAGTTCAGCTATTATACATAACATATATATAATAATTGACATATATACATATATTATATATATTTTTTGTTTATTTTTGTTTAATATTATTGTCCCCAACCAGTTGTTTCAGAGGTGTCTAATGAAGATCTTAAACATTGAACTTTGGAGGCTCTATTTGAACTACGTTAAGGAGACCAAGTGCATGTTGCCGACTTACAAGTACGTATTCTTTACTCTTCTTCTTCTACCTGGCAATTTCCCAGCTTTAGCCAGGGTCTGCCTGTTTACTATTCAGGTGAAAGATCAGGCTAGATTAGGCCGGCCACACAAGCTATGTTATATAGAGGTAGGCCGAGAAATAGTAGCAAAAAAAAACTGCCCAGGTCTATTCTCACACACATTAGTCTACCTGCACAGGTGCACCTCTCTTAAGGCCTCGGCCTCGAATTTTGCGGGCAGCGGAGCGGCAGGATCTTACGCGTATAATCAAATGGACCGACCCTCGAATACAGCGGTGCCCGCTGCCCGCTAGTTTGGAGAACAGTATGCGTTTCCGTGCCGCCGCCGCTGCCGCTCCGCTGCCCGCAAAATTCGAGGCCGAGGCCTTATAGACATTGTGTGGCCGGCATTAGGAGTATTATTATTCTAAACTAGCTTCTCGCCCGCAGCTTAGCCCGCGTGGAGTTCGGTTATATCGCGTTTCCAAGAGAACCTTTCAAAAGTCTGGGATAAAAACTATCCTATGTTCTTTCTCAAGGTCAACTCTATGTCTGTACCAAATTTCATTAAAATTAGTTCAGTGGTTTAGTCGTGAAAGCGTAACAGACAGACAGAGTTCCTTTCGCATTTATAATATTAGTAGGGATAATTATACTGGACTTATAATTTCCAATTATAAGTTTGAAATCGCAAACCGTCTTGAGCAAGCGTGGTGATTAATGCTCAAACCTTCTCCATGTGAGAAGAGGCAGCTCAGCAGTGGGCTCTGATAGGCTGGTGATGATGATGATCATACTAAAAATGCATAGTTTTCTGTTTATTTACCAATGAAATATCGGTAATTGTAATTATGTAGTATGCTAGTAAATTGTGGCTAGTATGCTATACATCAAGATTACCTTATATTAAATAACCAATTTTGATTATCATCAGATTTAGGATTTGACTCATATTTTTTTGTTGTGGAAGGTTTTCTCTATTATAAAGTATGAGATAGAAATTTTAACACAAAATTATACAAAAATTTTCATGTTTGCAGTACGTAGGGACGAAACTTCTCAGTATTCCATGGATTCAGTGTTTGTGTAGGGTCCATCGCGTAAATATCTCAGTAGCTTTCTCCGTATAACCGTTGTTGAATACATTGAAAAATTAATTTAATTAATTGTTGAATCAATTCTTCATCAGGAAATTGATGATGTAGGAAGCATTGAGTCTTTTGAGGATATCAATGACATTAAATTTTTGAATTAGCTTGACCTTAGTATGATTTTGTATGGATCTCTAATTATAAGACAATTATGAGAACAATTGTATAAAAGTCCATAAGGTATTCGACAGAATTGCAAAAATAGTGGTAAATGTATCGAAAATAGGACATTTTGTCATAATTATTCCATTTTAAGGCTGACCTTACTAATAGTCAACAATACAACATAAAAATGACCCTCGCAGATAGATGTCTATCACAAAACCTTTTAAATGAAATGAATGAAGTGAAAATATCACATTAAACCTACACCTGGGTCGCAAGTCCCAGTCACTGTTGAAGCTCCTCTCACTACAACGATGGACCCGACACACGCACCGTGAATACATTGAATGATGAGAGGTTTCGTCTCTAAATTATATAAATTAATTTAAATGAAACTAATATTTTTTGATATACTACACGGTTTATTTTCGATAAAAAAACTACATACTTCCAAGCTTTTGGCTACTCTAAAGTAACTGTAATCATGCAGATGAGAAAAATATTAGTTTCACTTAAATGAATGAGACTCGCGAAAATCTCAATCTTCTTCCTTGCAATTTCCCAGCCTTAGCCAGGGTCTGCCAAAATCTTAGATCTCAATATGATAAATAAATTTCAGAGAAAAAATGGCGCAGGCATACGACTTCGCGTTGGACAAAATAGGCTTGGACATACACGCGTACCCAATATGGAATGATTATGTGACGTTTCTGAAAGCGGTTGAGGCAGTTGGTTCTTACGCTGAAAATCAGAAGATATCTGCCGTTAGGAAGGTGGAGTTATACTTTATATTATACTAGCTTTCCGCCCGCAGCTTCACCCGCGTGGCGTTCGGTTATATCGCGTTTCCAAGAGAACCTTTCAAAAGTCTGGTATAAAAACTATCCTATGTTCTTTCTTAAGGTCAACTCTATGTCTGTACCAAATTTCAGTAAAATCAGTTCAGTGGTTTAGACGTGAAAGCGTAACAGACAGACAGAGTTACTTTCGCATTTATAATATTAGTAGGGATTTCAGATCTTAAGTATTTAAACGCTACAAAAAACTTTGAAATCGAACCTACTATTTTCTGTTAAGGCCGTTGTAATAATTGAGACATAGTGTCCATACAAGAAATCAGTTTAATGAATTTTAAATTTAACACACTCCTATTTAAAATTTATTATGAATAACACTGATCATTATAGAATTATTTTATAGTTATTTGACAAGACTTGACTTATTTTTCTGATAACAAAAAACATATTGATTTTTAAATTAAAACTAGCAAAATTTTGGTCCAGACTCTATTTAATTTCTTTGAAATAATGTTTATATTTTGTAACTTATAAAATATATATATATATATATATATTGTTATTTACCCCCAGGTTTACCAGAGAGCGGTCATAACTCCCATAATAGGTATAGAGACACTATGGAAGGACTACATCGCTTTTGAACAAGGAATCAATACTATTATTGGTATGTTTACACAACTATATACATATAATTCCTACATAAAGTACATAAACCCACTACTCTGTTAAGTTACCGCCGTTCTCATCACTGAGCTATAGCTCCCATTAATTTCTTTATTTGTATATCATAATTTATATAAATTTTTGTATTTTTGTACCAAACCTAATCTGTGATTAAATTTCTTTATAGAAGTATTTGACTTTTCAATACATTCATTTAAACTTACTTTTTCATCTATGATTGTATATTTATATCTCTAAAATAAAGTTAAAATAAAAATCTTAGTTTTTTAATCAAACTATACATATATCTATTAACAAAAACTATAATTTTGAAGTATATTTGATATATACAGGGTGACTGGTGAATTACTATCGATATTTAAGGAGAATACTCGGTACATGATTCTCATTCGAATTATGTAAAAAAAATAGGTACTTAATTTTTGACCAAATTTCCGTATAAATAAATAAAGTGTGGACACGTTCCAAGTGTTCCAAGTGTGGACGCGTCCGGCGGCGTGCTGATACAACACCACGCCGCCGCACGCGTGTATGTGTGTGTGTGTATACTTAATCTGTAGGGTGTTCACACGATGCGTAATTAATTACATAACTTTTGGTTAACTTTACTTAGAAGTTTATTAATATTTATGTCATATTAATTTTTATTTTGTCATATATGATCGTCAAATATCATGTCCTCAAGTATCGATAGTAATTCACCAGTCACCCTGTATATATTAACAAAAACTATCATTTTTTAGTATATTTGATATATATTTTTTTCATATATAGCTGAACGAATGGCTATGGAGAGATCGCGGGAATATATGAATGCTAGACGAGTCGCTAAAGAATTGGAAACTGTTACACGAGGCTTGAACAGGAACATGCCCGCGACTCCGCCCACCGCGGATAGAGAGGAAATGAAACAGGTTATAACTCATATATATTACATACAGTAAATATTAATTACCCTTAATTATATTATTTATTAAAATTATGTTGGTATTTTTTACATTTATGTAAAATTTTTCGCAGTGTCTCATAAACCAATATTGGTTTTTCCGTACACTGGAATTCATCGTCGTTAACTCACAATTACAATCTAAGAGACATTTGAATTACATTATTCGATGAAGTCTATAGATTATAACTTACATCATCTTTAATACAGGAATATATACATATTTCTCATATAACAATATATTTATTTTACATATAGGTGGAATTATGGAAGAAATATATATCATGGGAGCGTTCAAATCCTCTGAGGTCTGAAGATACCGCCCTCGTAGCGAGGAGAGTGATGTTTGCTATAGAACAATGTTTACTATGTCTAGCGCATCACCCGGATGTATGGCATCAAGCCGCGCAGTTTTTGGATCACTCGTCAAAATTACTACAAGAAAAGGGGGTGAGTTGACTCATTATACTAATTATTATTAATAATTATCAATCATGTAGGAATTATAGTAGGTAAATATAGTTAAGAATCCAAAATACTACAGGAAAAGGGGGTGAATTGACTCATATTAATTATTATTAATGTTGGAGTTATAGTAGGTAAAAATATGGTAGTCAGTGGTGGCCTAGTGGTTAAAAGTCCCGTCTCTCATGCACGAGGGCGCGGGTTCAATTCTGGCAAGTACCAATGTGATTTTTCCGAATCATATGTACTTTATAAGAGTATTTAGACATCACTGAGAGACGGTGAAGGAAAACATCGTGAGGAAACATGGACTTATAATTTCACAATTATAAGTATGAAATCGCTAATCCGTCTTGAGCAGACGTGGTGATTAATGCTCTAACCTTCTCCATGTGAGAAGGAGGCCTTTGCTCAGCAGTGGGCTCTGATAGGCTGATGACGAATAATAATATTGGAGTTATAGTAGGTAAATATAGTTAAGAATCCAAGTTACTTCAAAAGCGGGTGTTTATTTTCTGAATATGTCAATTTGGCTAATTTAAGTTAGTAATAATTGATATAACTTTTGTTATATTAATAGATTATAAAGTTAGACAGATAGGAAGTGTTTATAGTTAAGAACTATCATGAGAGAACTGGTTTCTAAAAGATAAATTACATTGAAAAAGGTCAATCTTTTTTAGAGCTACTGTGTAGACGCACACACACATACACAAACGCATGTTCACACATACAAATATACCCACGCACATATACTGATTTTAAAGGGACTATCACTAGCAAATAGTTGATGTAATAAGTACTAATTTAAACTATATTTATTTTTATCATATATATGTACTTTTAATTGTCCAGGATTCAACAGCCGCTCGTTTGTTCTCTGAAGAAGCCGGCGCGGTGTACGAGCGAGCTACGTCCGGTCCTCTCAAACACTCTACCTTATTGCATTTCGCTCACGCTGACTATGAGGAGAGTCGACTACATTATAATAAGGTACATATATAGGTTGGGGAAAAAGACTTCGCATTACATATAGTATGTATGAACTTGTAATAAAATCTCTTTGGCTGTAGTATTTGTATCTGGCTGGTTTTGTTATCATTAAAAGGTTAAAATTTTAAAGAACATAATTCCAAATACAAATTAGGAAAATGTGTGATTTTCATTTGTTTTTCATACTGTCAAGATGTAAATACACATATATATTACCAAAATGTTGTACATGTGTGATGAAATCATTTAAAGGATAATTTCATAAACAAAAGGAAAGTTTCAACTATAACACAGTAAGATGTTATATTATGTATTTGGGTAATATATAACATATAAATAAATATTGATGCATTTTAGCATTTAGCTTTCGTTTGGCTAGAATCAAAGTTTGTGAAAATTTTGTGAAGCGGTCTCGTCGTTTCAATACTAAATTATTTGTGTTGGACATGGCTTCTTATTTCCGGCCTTTATTGAGCTCAAATCGGTCCGATAAAATAGTATACTTTGAAATATAATAATTTAAAATAATAATCTCACATATTTATCAAACTGAAACTACACCAAATCTATTTTACCCTAGGGTAAAATACAACATTTTTATCAACATTCATTTACTTTACCCTTATACAACTCAATTTCCCTTACCCACAGGTACATCAAGTATACACACGCTATTTAGATATGGCAGATATCGAACCTACACTCGCCTACGTACAATATATGAAATTTGCGAGAAGAGCCGAAGGAATTAAGTCAGCTAGGACGGTTTTCAAACGTGCGAGAGAGGATCCTAGGTAAGATTCATTAGAAAAAAATAAGAAATATATTATTATTATGAACTTTTCATAAAATATATAAGGACTAGCTTTGCCCGCTTGGAGTTCAGTTATATCGCGTTTCCAAGAGAACCTTTCAAAAGTCTGGGGTAAAAACTATCCTATGTTCTTTCTCAAGATCAACTCTATGTCTGTACCAAATTTCATTAAAATCAGTTCAGCGGTTTAGGCATGAAAGCGTAACAGACGGACAGAGTTACTTTTGCATTTATAATATTAGTAGGGATGGTAAGTGAAAATTAAAATTCGTTCTGGTATTTCTTTAATTGGCATTGTTAATTGACTTAAATATAAGTTTATAATCGTTAGTCAATATAATATGTAATTGTTTTTTACCACTCATCTTCTATAATTGTAACAAAAATACTTCTTTAGCATTTTTATTTAGTTTAAAATGATAGTTTTTTGCTATTTGGTCTATCTGTGATTGCCACAACGTTTTTCCATGTTATCATTAGAGCCATTACACGAATTTCCCAATATGAATGTTTTACTGTAACCAGAACGTTTTGTAATCTACTAAATATATTGTTAGTAGAGAAAAGACGTGATGATTTTTTTAAAAGACCTTCGCCAGCCAAGGGCAAATTAATTAATATTCAAGACTAATTAGGGCACATCTTCTCTTGACAATAGTTGAGAACAAAAAGTGTCCGATTGTCTGTAATGGCGCTTCTATATACGTGGCTTGCTAGATTAATAATTGATTATTATTTAACAAAATATATGTAATATTTCTTATCTTTCAGATCTCGTTACCACGTATTCGTGGCGGCCGCTCTCATGGAATATTACTGCTCCAAAGACAAAAACATAGCCTTCAGAATATTTGAGTTGGGTCTTAAGAAGTTCTCACACATACCAGAGTATGTGTTGTGCTATATTGATTATTTGTCACATTTGAACGGTGAGTTATAATTATATAGAGAGTTACCTTGTTATATCATATCTTTAGATATCTTTTAACATATCTTTAGAAAATAAAATGCGTATATGTGTATATGAAACAAAATTTATCAGTAAAATAAATTGTATGTTTGTATATACAGGGTGACTGGTGAATTACTATCAATATTTGAGGAGAGTACTCGGTACATGATTCTCATTCGAATTATGTAAAAAAAAATAGGTACTTAATTTTTGACCAAATTTCTTTGACTTAATTTTTGACCAAATTAATTTTAATTCTGTCATATATGATCGTCAAATATCACGTCCTCAAGTATCGATAGTAATTCACCAGTCACCCTGTATAAGTCATTCAAGTTTTTAATTGATTATAAAATAAAAAATATAATACATTTGAAGAATTTATATATAATAATTCTTAATTGGATTTAAATTTATTCTTATCGTTTAGAAAAAATCAAATAGTATTTTTTCCATTATATTAATTACAAATATTTATAATAATTATTTTTTTCCAGAGGACAACAACACCCGCGTGTTGTTCGAGCGCGTTCTGTCGTCGGGTTGCCTCAAGCCGGAGAGTTCTGTTGACATCTGGAATAGATTCCTGGAATTTGAATCCAATATTGGAGACCTCGTCAGTATAGTGAAAGTGGAAAAACGGAGGCAGGCGGTCTTGGAAAAGGTTATATATATATATGAGTTCTTAAATATCTTTATATATAAGAAAACTAGCTTTCCGCCCGCAGCTTCGCCGCGTGGAGTTCGGTTATATCGCGTTTCCAAGAGAACCTTTCAAAAGTCTGGGATAAAAACTATCCTATGTTCTTTCTCAAGGTCAACTCTATCTCTGTACCGAATTTCATTAAAATCAGTTCAGTGGTTTAGGCGTGAAAGCGTAGCAGACAGACAGACAGACAGACAGACAGACAGAGTTACTTTCGCATTTATAATATTAGTAGGGATAGTGTTAGTTACACTATTTATAACTCAAGAACGGCTCTACGGATATGGATGAACATTGGTGGAGAAATAGATTAGAACATAGAAAAGACACTATATTAATCATATGATAAAAAAATATATATAAATCCAAAATCTTCTAATTTATTGCCTTTAAGAAGCAACAGTTAGCCTGGTCAGCTATACAAAGTAACGCAGGCGAAGTCGCGGACAAAATCTAGTTATATATACATCATACTAAAATGTTACCTTTTTATAGCAATTTCACATAGCAATTCATACTAAAACTGAATCAGTGGCGGCTGTACCTTAAGTGCACTCGTGCGCTGAACCACCAATTCCAAAGATTTTAAAATTACAAAATACTATTATTTCATCTTTATTTTTAAAATATACCATTTTAATATTTATTTTCTTAAGATACAAAAACGTATAAAAAAATAAATTTCTAATTACATATAGTCGAAAAGTTTGTGCGCTTTACTAAACTAATATCTCGTGCGCTTCGGCGAGTGCACGAGGAGTGCTAATACATCTTGTATGAGATACGCATTAATACGCCTGACGCGTGAGACAAAAGATAGTTCATAGAAATGTACCGAGTAATGAGTCGGTTCTCGAGCGCCGCACGAGCGGCCGAAGGTTACCGAGAGCACCCGATGTATGACGATTTGGAATTGAAAAGAATCAAAACTTTTCTCCGAAATACCATGCACTTGCTAAATGCACTTTCTATGCTTAGTATTGAAAAAAATAATTATACAAACAATACTCGATTTTAATAAAAAGGTGATTGAACATTTCGCTTCAGAAAAATGTCGTCGCATTGATTTAATATTTAAAAAATAAACATATTTTATGTCAATTGGTTTTTTGTTGCATTTTCTAATTTTAATATTTTAGTAAAGTGCACCACCAGTTCGATAACCCACCAGCCGCCACTGAACTGAATTATAGAAAATATAAGCATATAAAAATATAATTTACCCCAAAATACCCTTTTCACCCCCAGATCAAAGAATTTGAGGGTAAAGAGACGGCTCAGCTTGTAGACAGATACAAGTTCCTAGACCTCTACCCTTGCACGATAGCTGAACTCAAATCAATAGGATACACAGAGGTCAGTATTTACCCTAGGGTAATATTAATTTCATAATATATAAAGTAAAATTTAATTATATATATTATACTTTTATTTTTAGTTTTATTTACAAGATTAAATTAATTTTTGCAATATATTTGTTTGGTTCATATGTTAAATATATTTTGTTTTGACTTCATATTGATTAAATCATTGTTATTCCAATATGGCGGATGTGTGAGTAATCCAATATAGAGGAAATATTTTTTTAAACGAAAGAGATATATAAATTTAGTCAGTGGTGGCCTAATGATTAAAAGGCCCGCCTCTCATGCATGAGGGCGCGGGTTCGATCCTGGCAAGTACCAATGTGATTTTTCCGAGTCATATGTACTTTATAAGAGTATTTAGACATCACTGATTAATGCATTCAATGAGTGTTGATGTCAGGCAGGCGGCCGATCGTAAAAACAATAAGACAAATCTATTCACAACATGTAAGGCAGACGCTGGCTAAAGCTAGGAAATTGAGAGGTAGAAGAAGTAATATATAAATTTAATTATTTATTATTTTTTGTTTGATATAAATGAAAGCGTTTGACCTATTTTTCTAACATTTATTATGGTTTCTATAATCTATATATGTATATTTTCTTGTATATAATATTAATTTGTATTAAATTTTCCTTATTCCAGGTAGCATCAATGTCGAACAAGTCTTGGGCTCTCGGCGGACCACTCGCTGGCATTTCACCAGAATTAGCCGCTGTTATATTAGGACAGAAGTAAGAATCATTATTATAATAATATATATTATTAAAGAGAATCATAATAATCAATAGTTTTGGAATTAATATTTGTGGCTAGCTTTCCGCCCGCGTGGAGTTCGGTTATATCGCGTTTCCAAGAGGGCCTTTCAAAAGTCTGGGATAAAAACTATCCTATGTTCTTTCTCAAGGTCAACTCTATATCTCTTTCATTAAAATCAGTTCAGTGGTTTAGACGTGAAAGCGTAACAGACAGACAGACAGAGTTACTTTCGCATTTATAATATTAGTAGGGATTTGTTAAAAGAAAATCATACATATAAAAAATATAATTTGTTATCTTAAAATAATACTTAATTATTCTTTGATAATGGAAGTTAGGTTAAATATATGTATAAAATAATTATGTATTTGTCTAGTTTCAGTAAAATACTACATTCAATAAGTAGCAGGTTCGAATCCTGATTGTCAATGAAATATCGTATATTTTCCTTAATTTTACATACCAATTAATATTTGCTTCTATTTAATGTTTTTATTATTATCTATTACAGAGATAATGATCCTAATAAGGACATAGCTCGTCCGGACACAAGTCAAATGATTCCATACAAGCCGAAATCAAATCCTTTGCCCGGAGAACATCCTATACCTGGTATGTACAACTATAATAGCTAAGAATTTCTCATATATTTATTTACATGTAAGTTAGTTTCATATACAGTAGAAACTCTATTAACCGGACTAATTGTTGTCGATAGGCATTCATATAATCGAAAATCCGGATAATCGAATGTATGAAGAAAAGACGGTTTTGTGCTTATGTAGTACATAATATTATATGTTTATTTAAAAAAATTACAATATGTATTTGGTAATTTGCAATTGGTAATCATGAATTAAATTAATAAGTATAATTTGGTTTAGAATATTTGTTAATTGTCATTTGACGTACGCCACTCTCAACAACACCACTCTCTTACGCTTTACCAATCTTTCTTGTCCGGACTTATCAGTAGTCCGGATAATAAAGTTTCTACTCTACTATATATTTGTAATTTTATATCTAGATGACTACTTATATCTTATGATTATTTTACAGCAACCGTAATCATGAAGAAGAAAGCTATTTTAAAACTCAAATTTAATATTACTGATTAAAGTACAGTGTAAACTCTATATAACGACACTGAAGGGACCGTGCATTTTATGGCGTTATAGAGTTGTCGTTAAATAGAGAGATGAAAAATCAGAATTAGAAAAAGACCAAGTTTATTTCAGACTAGCGTTAGTACTTATGTACATACAAAATAATGTTATTCGAACGCTATTGCGTATATAGTCTGTTATTTTTGTTTGACGTCTTTTGCTGCACCAGTAGTGTTGTAGTATTTTTTTATTTCATCAATGTAAACGTAAATATCAGCGTCGTCGGCGCGTTTAATATACGCCGTGTGCTATGTGTCTAACTTATTTACATTTATTAAAAAACAAAAAAAAAGTTGTTAAAAACATATTTAATTCATAACAATCCTATCTAAATATTATATGAGGTAATGAGTATTATTATTGTCAGTAAAATTCAGTGGTGGCCTAGTGGTTAAAGGGTCTACCTCGTTGTCGAGGGCGCGGGTTCAAACCTGGCTAGAACCAATGTGATTTTTTCGAGTCATATGTACTTAAGAGTATTTAGACATCACTGATTGATATTGATGAAGGAAAACAGCGTGATTAAACATGGACTTAATCAAATTATAAGTTTGAAATCACCAACCCGTCTTACAAGTGTGGTGATTAATGCTCTAATCTTCTCCATGTGAGAAGAGGCCTTTGCTCAGCAGTGGGCTCTGATAGGCTGATGATGACTATTATTGTATAATTATCTTCAATTCTAATATCTAGCCTGTTGTTTATTTCCAGGCGGTTCCTTCCCCCTCCCGCCCGCGGCCGCGTCCCTCTGCACCGCCATGCCGCCCCCCTCCAGCTACCGGGGGCCCTTCGTGGCTGTAGACATGCTGATAGCGCTCTTCAACAGGATCACGCTGCCCGACAAACGTGAGACATACATACATATGTACATATAGAGAGGAATAAGTGGATTAATATAGTTTTGTGGCTGTTGTCTTAATTTCTTTGTACCTATTTGGTATGACATATATGAGTCGTATAGAATCAAAATCGGAAATCTGCACTTAGACTGAAATCAGAGAATTGCATATTTTCGGTTTCAAAAATAATATTACGTAACGTTTTTTTAATATTGTTTATATGTAATATTTCAGCGGCTGCCCCAACTAATGAGAACGGCTGTGACACCAAGTTGTTTGAGCTGGCGCGCTCCGTACATTGGATCATGGATGATGACACCACCAAGAATAACACGGTAACATTATATATATACTAGCTTTCCGCCCGCAGCTTCGCCCGCGTGGAGTTCGGTTATATCGCTTTCCCAAGAGAACCTTTCAAATGTCTGGGATAAAAAATATCCTATGTTCTTTTTCAAGGTCAACTCTATGTCTGTACTCATTAAAATCAGTTTAGTGGTTTAGACGTGAAAGCGTAACAGACAGACAGACAGAGTTACTTTCGCATTTATAATATTAGTAGGGATATCCTCGGGGATAGTGCAAATTATTTAGTGTTTAATTTATTACTAATTGTGAAAAAATGACCTGAAAAGTTGTTAATATAGAAAATATTTCATCTCAAACTTTCTTCTGATAATCTGCTTCTAATTTATATACGTGGAATTATCCAATGCTACTTACGAGGATTTGCACTATGTTTGACTATATACAGTAGGACCTCGATTATCCGGACTAATTGTTGTCGGTAGGCATCCGGATAATTGAAAGTCCGGATAATCCAACATATGAAGAAAAACGGGCTTTTTGCATATCTATACTAATATTATAAAGAGTTTGTTTGTTTGTTTGAAAGCGCTAATCTCCGAAACTACTGGTTAGAATTGCATAATTCTTTTTGTGTTGGGTAGTCCAGTTATCGAGGAAGGCTGTAGGCTATATAACATTACGCTACGACCAATAGGAACAAAGATATAGTGGTAAATGTGTAAAAAATGGGAGATTTTATTTCATCTTTGAAGACTTCCGTTGGGTGCGCCGTGAAAACGGCTTAAGATACATAAAAAATATGTTTTAAAGAATAATAGCTCTTTTAATAATCTTAAAAGCAGTCCGCGACAGTATATGTCTATCTTTTAAGATTAACTCACAAAAACCGTTTTTATGGTATCTAATTTGGTCGAAATAATTTGTTTAAGTTGTATCAACATTATATTAATCTTAATAATATTAATCTTTATTCAAATAAACAAATAAATATGTTGTTGGTTAGGAGTACTTCATTGTGAATTAAAAAAAATATAGGTTTTATCCTGAAAATTCTACGGGAACTCGACCATTCCGAAAAAAACTCGTCGCGATTGGCAGTCCGGATAATCGCGAATTCGGATAACCGAGGTCCGGATAATCGGGGTCCTACTGTATACAACGTGTAACGTAATTAACGCACACCCTCAAATACCCCAATGCGAATATAATATTATAAACGCAATGCATACACCAAATATTATTTATATGTGTTTGCATTTTTTATTTGTGAAATTAGTTATTCCAATTTCGTGCAAATAATATGGTCAGCTATTCACCAACACTCCGCTACACACGCACACACAGACAGACACTATGTACTCGCCGCGCCCGCGCCCCTCTCTCCGAGTGCCGTCCGACAATAATAAGAAGTAACTACATACATTATGATTTTTCTTTCCATCACACTTTTCAAGCTTTAGATTGTTGACATTGAATTTTCTTTTTAATGTGAAGCCAATATTTTACAATTACTGATTTGTTAAATTAAATTTGTAAATAAGAATTATTAAACAGCTGATAACGCGTGATTTGATTAGACACCACAATACCTACGACAAAGTTAAACACAGTCGGCCTGTTTAAATGGTGTGTATCAAAATATTTACAATAATTTTAAGGTCATAAACAAACTTACAGTTTAATTTGCACTCGCACGGCGTTGTCGTTTTAAAACATTTTCAAAATGTCCACCGCCTTGTTCAATGCACTCTAATGACCGTTTTCGCAATTGTGGTTTTATTTTAGATAATACTGCAATGTCACTTTTCACTTTTACAAAGGCGGTTATTATCTTATTTTTTAGTTCCACGGCACTTGTTATCTCTGTGTTATAAACTAGCGATTTAATTCCCCCCCACAAAAAAAAAGTCGAGTCGCGTCAAATCAGCTGATCTAGGAGGTCAATGGACACGTGCGTAGGTACTTGATGTATTGAATGTTAGTGTACCGAAACGACACAGCGAAATGCGCGACTAAGATTTTATTTGCACTTCACACTTGACCTCTTTTCGATAAGGTGGACGCGGCGTGACTAACTTACCCAAAACACATTTTGTTGACTTCGATGTTTAGTTATTATTACTCTGATTCCCGGAATTAGCCTGCCGTCTCGCTCTATTGTAATGTTATTAAGCCGAAGAAAGAAGGAGAAAGTAATAATTTTTGTATTACGCGGCTTTCTTTTATGCACTGTAGTGACCTTGCTGTGTGCCGGTTGTCGCTATGGTGTTGCGTGCGTAGTTATTTTTAAATACTATTTTAGCCTTGAAATAAGTATCAGTTTTCTTTAATTGAATGATGATTACTAATTAAATATTTCATTTTAAAAATCTTAATGCCCTGACTTACGATCCATTTTCGTTTCCATTAATTTTCGTTTCTAATAAGTGTTTAGATAACTGTGTGTAGGGTGACTATAATTTACTAAGTTCTATCTAAATTTGAGAAAAAAAATGACCTACATAAAAAACTATCAAAATCGATCCAGTATCCGATTCTGATCAAACTACTTTCAGGGTGTGCGTTAATTATGTTACACGTTGTATATGACTGAACTTTCTACTAGTTATATAAAATGCTTATAACGAGGTTTCTTTGTTAATATATGATTCATAGTATGTCATTCAGTCTTCACATTTTAGTTTTAAAATAGTATTATATGAGTTATACGGTTAATAGTTCGGTTAGTAGTACGGTTAATTCTTCTTCAGTAATATATTATAGTATTAAGTGAAACAGGAGACTAGAAGTATGTAGTGATTATAATTTTGAAGCAAAACTGAACTCAAATAGGAATTTATATACTAATCTTAAGTAATATTCAATAATTTATACTAAAAATGTTATTACTACACATTATTTATTATAAAAGTTATTATATTTGTATGATTATAATGAAAAATATAAATATTTTTAAGTAATTTTAAATTATTTATGTACAGGCTCGTAGAAGAAAGCTGGGTTCAGACTCGGATGATGATGAGTTGGGAGCTCCTCCGCCTCTCAACGATGTGTACAGACAGAGACAACAGAAAAGAGTTAAATGAAATATATTTATATGATGATTTGTAATATATTATGTGTTTTATTAACATTATCATCTCCATCTTATACAACTCTTAGTAATAAGACAGCCTGTCTATCATCATCACCATCCTATCAGAGCCCACTGCTGAGCCTCTTCTCACATGGAGAAGGTTAAATCACCACGCTCGCTCAAGACGGGTTGGTGATTTCAAACTTATAATTTGATATAAGTCCATGTTTCCTCACAATGTTTTCCTTCATCTGTCAGTGATGTCTAAATACTCTTAAGACTCGGAACAATCACATTGGTACTTGCCAGGTTTCGAACCCGAGCTCTCGTGCATGAGAGGCAGACCTTTTAACCACTAGGTCACTACGACTTGACCAACTACCATAATGTATTTGAATATAATTAATATTAATTAGAAATATGAACTAAAACTATTTAATTTAAATTAATGTTGTGTATTGATAGGCTATCTATGGCACTTCTTAAACAATACTATAGAAAGTGGTAATACTATTACCACTTTCTAGTGGTTGCAATACAAAGTAACCCATTTAATAAATATTAGACACTTTACACTTCAAACGTTTAAGAATTTTCTGTAATAGTAATCGAATAAAAAAACTATGCAGTAGTGAGTATAACTATCGATATTCTGAATAGTTTTCGAAGTCAACTGTCGATAGCCAAAGTATCGATAGTTGTGCAACACTAAGTTAACCTGGAAATAGTTGACGAAATCATTAAGTGACACTTCAACAACTGACATTTAAAACTAACTGAATGATTAATTATTATTTATTTGCAAGTCAGTGGTGCCCTAGTGGTTAAAATGTCCGCCTCTCATGCATGAGGACGCGGGTTCGATCCTGAGACGGACAAGTACCAATGTGATTTTTCCGAGTTATATGTACTTTCTAAGAGTATTTAGACATCACTGATTAATGCATTCCCAAAGAGGGTTGATGTCAGGCAGGCGGGCCGGTCGTGAAAATAATTAGCCAAAACTATTCACAACATGTAAGGCAGACCCTGGCTAAAGCTGGGAAATTGCCAGATAGAAGAAGATTATTGGCACACGAGTGATTGTTATCTGTAACTTACAGATGTGAGACAAAAAAAATATAATAATAATATATAATCGCTTTTATTCCATTAAACTATTTCGTGTTTAAACCACTTAAAAAAAATATAAAACTAATTGAATATACTCTTAATAAGCCATTTTGACCGCTTTTCTATGTGATTGTGCCAAATTGCACAATGTATATATATATATATTAGTCAAATATATAAAAATAAATAAAAACCATATTTATTGTTACACTGATTTAATCGGATATATTACACAGTATGGTAGTTTTGATCTACGGGGAACCATTTCAAGCGGACTGTATATAATTTACTTCTTATTCTATATATTTAATCAATCTATCTGTATGTCTGTCTATCGATCTATTTCTCCGAACACAACATCCAATGTTCCGATAATGGCTACTATATCAGCCAACATGGAATTCTTTCCGATTTTCTCCAAAGCAGCTAGATGAGCAAAGCCGGGGGCCTTGATCTTGCATCTGTGGAAATAGAAAATATTAATACACAGTAGTTAATATCCACAATTCTTCTGCATTCGGAGAAATATATATAAAAGAAAGTCGTTTTAGTTGCACTATTTATAACTCAAGGACGACTGTACAGATATGGATGAAAATTGGTGGAGAGATAGATTAGCACAAGGAGATGGACATAGGATATATAATTCTGTTCGATCTAAAATAGAGTTCGCTCGATCTTCCTACTAATATTATAATTGCGAAAGTTTGTGAGTGTGGGTATGTTTGTTACTTGTTCACGCTCAAACGGCAGAACCGAATTTGATAAAATTTTGTATACAGACAGCTGACGTCCAGGAATAACACATAGGCTACTTTACATCCCGGAAATCCGCGGTTCGCAGCTAGTATATATATATAAAAGAAAGTTATGTTAGTTACACTATTTATAACTCAAGAACGACTGTACGGATATGGTTGAACATTGGTGGAGAGATAGATTAGCACATGGAGACGGACGTAGGATATTGAATTCAGTTCGATCGAAAAAGAAGACTTCATAGATTTCAATTTTTGATTATTTACAGACTCTAGGGTGGAAGAGCATTCGCCTGCTCAACTATGCATATATTTCAAATTCAGGAATTAACGGTCTATTGTATGTGACACATCATATGGCATCAATACAACCTTACAGCCATGTTCATTAAATAAGTACAGGGAATTTTTGTATAGATTATAATATATACATCATTCCTTTGTCTAAACAACTTTATTTTAGTTCATCGAGATTCATACAGTAGTATACAAGATTTAACTAACATATAATATATATAACACTAGCTTTCCGCCCGCAACTTCGTCCCCATAGAGTTCGGTTATATCGCGTTTCCAAGAGAACCTTTCAAAAGTCTGGGATAAAAACTATCCTATGTTCTTTCTCAAGGGCAACTCTATCTGTACCAATCATTAAAATTAGTTCAGTGGTTTAGTTGTGAAAGCGTAACAGAGAGACAGTAACTTTCGTATGGACGTTATAATATGAATGTTTTTCTTACCTATATGGTTTTGATCCTCCATCAGATACAAGGTAGACCCCGAACTCTCCTTTGGGCGCCTCTACGGCGGTGTAAGTAGCGCCGGGGGGCACCGCATACCCTTGAGTGAACAGCTTGAAGTGATGGATCAACGCCTCCATTGATGTCTGGGAAATAAGAAAAAAATCATAATAAATAATCTTTTTTTTAATACGTGAAATATTTAATATATAATTATGTTCGCATAGTTGTTGGGTCATTTATAATGTTTACTCATCAATTATTTGCATATTTAGTTATAATCTGTTGTGTGAACCGTAAATAATATAAAATAAATGCTTATAGGAATCAATTCTTGTAATATGTTATTCAGATGCTATCTTATTCTGTGATCATGGTTACTTAAGAGTAAACATGTTATAGGTAAAATGTAATATAGTTTTAGCAAACTACAATATATTGTTTTCAATAAAATTAATAACAACGCAAGTCAGGACATAATAGCTCAGTTTTAAAAGTGACTGAGTTTTCAAATCTCAGTGGTCACAGGTTTAAAATCTGCTTTTGCTGTTGAATTTTTCATTATATTCTAGCTGACCCGGCAGACTTCGCACTGCCTCAATCAAGAAATAAAAATTGTCTTATTTATATTTTTGGAGTTTACCTTTAAGTTGTTCTGAAGTGCGACAGAATGATTGACAGAATTATGGAAATAGAAATGGGGTGTTTTTAGAGTTTTCCCGGAAATGATACAATTTTTTTCATCTTTTAAACCTTCCCTGAACCTCCACGAACATTTCAAGACTAAGATAAGATAAATCCGTTCAGCCGTTCTCGAGTTTTAGTGAGACTAACGAACAGCAACTCATTTTTATATATATATTATATATTATTGTATGTCTGTCTGTCTGTCAGTCTGTCTGTCTGTCTGTATGTACGTCCCCCACCTTCATCTCCTCCCTGGAGGGCGGGGTCAGCTTCGCGTCGTCCGTCTTCACTTCTCCGGGCGGCATCTGGTTCAGACACTGGTCTATGATGCGGAGTGACTGACGCATCTCCTCCACACGGATCAGATATCTGAAAATATAAATATATATATTTAGATACAAATATGTAAATTTGTGTTAATATAAAGAACAAATAATATATTACACATGTATCAATGTCTTACAACTTGATCTATAAATATACATTTACATTTCAGATAAAAATCTGAAAATTAGTTTTAATTTAAAGAATAATATATTATGGACTATAAGCGATGCGTTCGCTTTATATGAAGTTTTATAATGATTTTATATTAATATAAAAAACAGAAATTTATATTCAACAGACAAGATAATAAATGAATGTCTTTTAACATAAACACTATGCAGATAAATTATAAAAAAAATATATATTATTATGCTATTCTTGAGCATTTTACAATCAATTATCAAATTCAATCATTCTCAAGCATATATGCAGTTTAAACTACATAAACAATTGTTAAATTAATTTAAACAAAATTTTTAAACTTAAGTTAATTCTATATAATAATGTTTTATCCTATATTTCCTCACCTATCATAGCAATCTCCGTTGGTTCCTATCGGTACATCAAACTCAACCTTATCGTACGCGTCGTAAGGTTGAGTTTTCCTCAGATCCCACTTGATGCCCGAACCTCTTAACATCACACCACTGAAAACATTAAGTAAGATTCTATAGAGATGAATAAGTCATAAGTAGGATTTGAACCTGGGACTAGCTAGTATATATATAAACTAGCTTTTGCAAGTGACTTTGTCCGCGTTAGGTATATATTTAAAAATCTATAGCTGACCAGGCAAACATATATTCTCACATGGAGAAGGTTTGAGCATTAATCACCACGCTCGCTCAAGATGGGTTGGTGATTTCAAACTTATAGTTTGATATAAGTCCATGTTTCCTCACGATGTTTTCCTTCATCAGTCAGTGATGTCTAAATACTCTTAAGTATATATGACTCGGAACAATCACGTTGGTACTTGCTAGGATCGAACCCGCGGCCTCGTGTATGAGAGGCGGACCTCTAACCACTAGGCAACTGACTTATCCCTATTAATATTATAAATGCGAAAGTATCTCTGTCTGTCTGTTTAACTTTCACGCCTGAATCATTGAACTGATTTTAATGAAGTTTGGTACAGATAGAGTTGACCTTGAGAAAGAACCTTCTGAAACCTTCTGAAAGGTTCTCTTGGTAACGCGATAAACCGAACTACGGACGAAGCTGCGGGCGGAAAGCTAGTTTATATACCTGAAGCCATAGTTGAGAGCGTCTTGAGCCGTCACCACTCCTACATCCTTGGTCCGTTGAACCCAGATTCTATTCGTGGTAAGAACATCTTCAACCTCGTCGAGCCGTTCGGCGAACTTGCTCGCGAACTCATATATATCATCCATTAGACCCAATGGCATATCCTGAAATAAAACCAGGTAAAAAAAATTACAGTTAGAAATGATCAATTGTTGTAGGTTATTGTCAATATCCGGGGGTGAATTGGTGAATTGCCATAGCAGGTCCCAAATCGCCCCCAAATACGGGCAGGAAGAGAAGCCGGGGAGTTTTAGTGGGTATTCCCAGGGCCAACAACATCAGGCTCTGGGCAACCCCCACACAAGTCCCACTGTCGAGCCAAGGCAGTGGGTAGTCTGTAAGCGGATTTCTCCCCGAAAAAAAAAAAAAAAGGTTATTGTCAATGTCGTTCGCTTGACGTACAAAAATAAGGTGATCTCTGAAAATCAGCGCTGTCGTTCCTGGGTATTTCACATTATATTATTATCTTAAGTAAATAAAAGAAATATTTAATGAAATCTCTAATTTTTTTTTCCTCTGTGTGTGGAATTCCTAAAACGACAGCATATGCTGAGTGATTCTCCTTTTTGTGACATCATTGTGTAGGCAGCATTTTGTTTAGATTTATTTATACCTTCTATTCTGTAATCTTCATTAGATATTATTTAATAGTATTGTTATTTTATGTTTTTGTTTATGTTAGTGCCGTCTGGCAATGTTTGTCACAAATAAAACATTTTCTTTCTTTCTTTTTTCATTGTAGATTTTCCATGGTAGAAAATGTAAGACACAGAAATATTGGGAATTGTGTAGAGATATGTATGATTTGTAATTTCATTTAGTTAGAATAAGTTACAGTTTTCAGTAAGTTGAAATATAATTAATTCTCCTAGTGCGCAGATAAAATAAATTTTGTCAACTTCTGGTCCATTGTAAAAATGATTACATTCCTACCAGGGAAATATGCTTAATCTAAGTTTCTATCATTAATTTTGTTTAACAAACTGCTAATTCTATGTCTGTAGCGTGATGATGGATTAGACCATTATACAAATATTTACCGCAAACATATTATTTGCTTGTATTATATTTTGTACATTTCTATTCAATTACCTATACAACATATAATATAACAATATTGTATTAATAGTTTATACAAGAATTGTATACAGAAGATTTGTATAGGGAAATTATATATATAGGAGAATTGTATAAAGAAGAATAATATACATATTTTGTTATGTTAAAATTTAACAATGTTAATTGAATGTAATTGTTACCGCTGTCTACTGACAGGTACTCCTCAACATTAGGAGATCACTGAAAATCAGTGTAGAAGCAACATTGCTTCTATTTTTTTAATGAGTGGTTCTCCTTTTGGTTAAATTACACTGCTGCACACTTATCGTTATTATTATTGATTTTTAATTTGTTGTTTGTTTTGTAGTGGTGATATTTTTTAACCAATAAAAGTTTATAATTATTATTCTACAGAAGAATCATGACGACTAAACGAAAAGAATTCGGTCACTGTTAACCTTACCTCGGTCACCTTAAAATTGTATTTGTCCATCTTATGGTACACTTTTAGTTTTTATTCATTGTTTATTTAAATTTTTATTTTATTTTGTAAATTTACCTTTTATTTTTATATTTTTGCTTTTATTCTTAATGCGTCTCGCGTTGGGAAGTCTAATTTAGATAGAAATTAAGCATTATGTTTACCTATAAATGTTTGTCACACCTTGTTTTAGGTTATATGTATTGTATATTTTTGTGTGATGATTTGAACAAATGTTGGTGGATTAAACAAATAAATAAATCCTACTACTATTATAAAGGCGAAAGTTTGTAAGTATGGATGTATGTATGTTTGTTACTCTTTCACGTAAAAACTACTGAATGGATTTGAATGAAACTTTACCATAATATAGCTTATACATCAGAATAACACATAGGTTGATGGTTATTGGTTGAATAGGAAAAAACTGATTATTTAGTGCATGTAGAACGGAATAGAGTTCGCCCGGTCAGCTATACATATATTACAGATGAAATGAACGCGGACGAAGTCGCGGGAAAAAACTAGTAAATCATAAAACTAACCAATGAGACTCCTCCTGGTCTTATATACGCAGCGTGCATCCTGGCGCCGCTTACTCTTTCATAGAATTCCATCATTTTTTCTCTTTCCTCGAATAACCAAAAGAATGGAGTTAGCGCTCCTACATCCAGAGCGTGAGTTCCAACAGCCATTATGTGGTTAAGAATTCTTGTTATTTCCGCAAACAGAGCTGGAAATTAATATTTATTAAGTTTAATATAAGCAAATATTGAATATTACTTAAGTTTATATAAGTTTGAGTTCAGTTTTGCTTCTAAATTATAATCACTACATACTTCTAGTCTCTGAATACTGAATATGTACTATAATATATTACTGAAGGAGAAACTATTAACCATATCTTTATATATATAATTCTTCTGTGAGTGTGTATGTCACTGAACTTCTCTCAAACAACCTGACCTATTTTGATGATTTTTTTTGTGTGTGTTCAACGGGATCTGGGAATTGTTTAGATTCACAATTTTGTCCCCTGGACAACGTTTTTTTGATTTATTAGTAGTTGTTGATACAAACGTTTTTTTTACATTAGATTTGACAACTAACTATGTCAATCATTCTGTCGCACTTCAAAACACGGAGATTTATGGCTTTAATAGGTAAACTCCAAAAATATAAATAAAAAAACGTAACAGATATTTCTTGATTATAAGGCGATACGAAGTTCGCCAGGTCAGCTAGTAATGTTATAAAAAACATTGACATAGAATTATGTTTGTCTACCAAAGAAATAAAATAATTTTGGGTGGGTCGGGACTCATTAATGAAATATGTCAGGCAGGCGGCCGGTCGTATAAACAATTACCCAAAACTATTCACAACATGTAAGGCAGACCCTGGCTGAAACTGGGAAATTGCCAGGTAGAAGAAGATTCATTTATGAAATATTATTAACACATGATGAGAGGTATTTACAACAAAGCGTATGACTTATTGTGTTCACATAGATTGTAAATTTACAGGTATCAAGTAAACATATACTAGAATATATGTAGAGAGAGGAGCTTGGATAGTGGAGGTGAGCGTTTAACGTTAGATAGGGGTCCCTTAAACCTACACCTGGGTCACAAGTACCAGTCACTGTTGAAGCTCCTCTCACTACAACGATGGACCCGGCACACGCATATGAATACATTGAATGATGAGAAGTTTCATCACATATATAAGTTTACTTACTTCTTATATACTTAGCCCTGATAGGAGCTTCAATATTAAGAAGTTTCTCAACAGCCAAACTGTAACATTGTTCGTTGCACATCATAGATACATAGTCGAGGCGATCGAAGTAAGGCAACGCCTGGGTATAGGTCTTGTATTCAATAAGCTTCTCTGTACCACGGTGAAGGAGACCTATATGAGGATCTGCTCCTCGGACAGTCTGAAAAACAGTATATTTTTATATATTACTTATACATGCTCGATACTGTTAAAATATGTAATATGATGTCAAGTGTAATGTAGGTAGATTATTATATTAATTATTAGTTGATGTCATTCAATTTGATACTTAGCACAATCATACTTGCCAAAGTTAATATAGTTTTATTAAGTACTATAATTATTAAAAAGAATTAGTTAACATTATAGTATATTATGTAATTATTTGAATCATCATCCTATCAGAGCCCACTGCTGAGCCTCTTCTCACATGGAGAAGGTTTAAGCATTAATCACCACGCTTGCTCAAGTCGGGTTGGTGATTTCAAACTTATAATTTTATGTTACTCTATGTTTCCTCATGATGTTTTCCTTCATCAGTCAGTGTGTAAATACTCTCATATAGTACATATGACTCGGAACAATCACATTGGTACTTGCCAGGTTTCAAACCTGCGACCTCTTCCATGAGAGGCAGGCCTTTAACCTCTAGGCCACTACAACCACTATCTAAATGTAACATATTAATATTTCTTTACCCTAACTATCAGTTTGCTTGTTAAACTTAATATGTACAGTTTTTTGTGTCTTCTACGTATATAAATATACCATAGGACAAATAATAAAAACTATAATCTCAGTTAACTTGTGGTGAGGATACAATTCATTATGTTACAGTAAAAATTAAATATAAAGTCATATATATAAACATCAGTATTTAGTGTAGGTGATCATAAATTTAGGTAATTCAAAGTTCATTGATCCCTCTAACATAAAACATGTCATTATAACATAGAAAAATAATGATTAATTCTCAAGCTATATACATATGTATATATGTATGCAGATACTACCATATAGTTAAATGTAAATAATATTTACATACAACCAAACAATACATATATCTATATACTTTCAAAAGTCTGGGATAAAAACTATCCTATGTTCTTTCTCAAGGTCAACTCTGTCTGTACCAAATTTCATTAAAATCAGTTCAATGGTTTAGGCGTGAAAGCGTATTTTCCATTATTAACCCCCCGCAATTCCACCCACAAGGGTGTGAGTGGAATTTCGTAAAATCCTATCTTAGCTGACCTCTACTCGAAAGGAATAATCCTACCAAATTTCAAGTCGCTACGCCTTATGGTTCCAGAGATATCGTGATGAGTCAATATACAGGTGGAAATCTCTTTTTTATATGTAAATATAATATTATCTCCAATATAACAAGGGTCATTCACCTCACCATCCAGTTCGAGCACAAGTCTCAACACACCGTGGGCAGCGGGATGCTGTGGTCCAAAGTTGAGGATCATGTTCTTAACTTGCTTCTCCGCAGGCGGCACGATACCTGGAAAGGTGTAAAAGTTACAACTAATACTAGTATTATACATTTATAAGAAACTAATATTTTAACATATACTATACAGGGTGACTGGTGAATTACTATCGATATTTGAGGACGTGATATTTGACGATTATATATGACAAAATAAAAATTAATATAACATAAATATTAATAAACTTCTAAGTAAAGTTAACCAAAAGTTATGTAATTAATTACGCATCGTGTGAACACCCTACAGATTAGGTATACACACACACTCACACAGACGCGGCGGCGGCGTAGTGTTGTATCAGCACGCCGCCGCACGCGCCCACACTCGGAACACTTGGAACGTGTACACACTTTATTTATTTATACGGAAATTTGGTCAAAAATTAAGTACCTATTTTTTTTTACATAATTCGAATGAGAATCATGTACCGAGTATGCTCCTTAAATATTGATAGTAATTCACCAGTCACCCTGTATAGCAATGAGATCTAAGATTTTTCGAGTACATATTCGTTTAAATGAAACTAATAATTTTCGGATTTTGAAGTCAGTGATGGCCTAGTGGGTAAAAGGCCCGCCTCTCATACATGAGGGCGAGGGTTCGATCCTGGCCCAGGCAAGTACCGATGTGATTTTTCCGAGTCATATGTACTTTCTAGGAGTATTTAGACATCACTGATTAATGCATTCCCAAAAAAGGGTTGATGTCAGGCAAGCGGCCGGTCATAAAAACAATTAGCCAAAACTATTCACAACATGTTAAGCAGACAATGGCTAAAGCTGGAAAAATTGCCAGGTAGAAGATTAAAGTAAATCTAATAATAAATATATTTAAACCGATATTTGTATCTATTCATAATACTGAACCTATTATATATAGTATGTTAACTTTGAAGCCAATATTGAAATATTGGCTTCAAAGTTAACATACTAGTTGATACTTCAGTATCAACTACTTTGAAAGTTAAAAATACTTCACCCATTTTGTAAGAAGCTTCTAGATCTAAACTAAAAACATTAAAAATCAAGACTGAAATTATATCTCAACAGTATGTTGTACAAACTACAAGTATTGAATTTGATAGAAATACTGGTGGGAAAATAACTCTAGTGATTTTATATGTAAATATTAAAATATTAGCCAAATACTCATATCTCTCTCTCTTAATAAATGTTTATTAGTGTTTCTTCCTAGAATTCACTAACAAATATGGTTTATAAAATTTTAAATAATCCCTACTAATATTATAAATCCAAAAGTAACTCTGTCTGTCTGTTACGCTTTCACTCCCAAAACACTGCACTGATTTTAATGAAAATTTGGTACAGACATAGAATTGACGTTGAGAAAGAACATAGAATAGTTTTTATCCCAGACTTTTGAAAGGTTCTCTTGGAAACGCGATATAACCGAACTCCACGCGGGCGAAGCTGCGGGTGGAAAGCTAGTGATATATATAGGACGTTGAATGGTGAAACACAACTGAATGGTGCCTCGGATTAGCCTGAATGTAAATTTTTCAACCGTACTTAGTTGTTTAATATATAATTTGAATAGAAAATAATATGAAATAAATTGCCACCTATATTAACTTGCAATATATGTCTTCTTTTACTGAATAATTCTTTGTTTGATTAAAAGTATTGTGATGAGAAATTATGTTAATTATAACAATTTTCATTTTTTATTATTTATATATATATGATACTATTAAAAAGCACTCATATATATAAATGTCTAGTATCTAACACTTAAATTTACATAATGGCATCTAGAGTGGTACACCAGAAAATTAATAAATCGATGGCAGTAGGTGATAAATAACAAGACCAACTGACAGACAATCACATCTCGTCTTAATGATCACGGTTGCTGTAAAGTAACCGAAACTAAAGTATGTAGTTTTTTATCAAAAATAAAGCGATGTATATCCGAAAAATATTAGTTTCATTTAAACTTAAATTTACGTTATTTCGTAGTTAGAGTAACCAAATGTTATTCTTACTGTTGTAAGGCGGGTGCTTCATGAGTTCAGGTCTGCCATCGGAATATAACACAGCGCCCTCGAACTGCTTAATAAAGTCTACGTCTGGCATCCAACGGTGGGCATTTCGTTGAGAGCTAAAGATATAAAAAATATGTGACAGATAGAAGTTGCGCAAATATACTATTAATATGTCAAACTTGGTCGAAACAAATATTATTATAATTAAGAAAAATGGTTACAAAATTAGATTTAAATAAAAGGAAACCTGACAACAATAACATTGGTACTACGTCTTATAACCTACAAGTTGTAATAGTAGAAAGTTACATAATTATTTTGTTCAGTTTTTAGCACTATTTTGATTGTTTATTATATTTTTATTATAAAACTACTCACCTGGCATTGTAAACCGCTGGTAAATTAGCCAGTAGGGCTCTGTTAGCACCCAATTTTGCGGTTTTCCGCAGCAAAACATTTACTAGCGAAACCATTTTCACTAAAACTGCGTTCCGTTCTGTGCCACAGGAACCATAATATTATAAATAATTTGACGTTAACTTCAAACTTTTTGTATTTGGGAAATATTGTAGTAACGTTTCAGTATTTATAAATTTGATTCAATATAATAAAACAGGCTTATGAATAATAATAATATTAGCTTTAGTTTATAAAGAAATCTTCTTATTACTATTTATAAAATATTGTTACTCTAAAATATTGCGTAAACCGGTACGTAGCTGTCATTAAATTCAGTGCTTTAAAGAATACCTTATCTCTATGTAATTAAGACTCAATTCTGAACATATATCTATTTAAAAATCTTTAATTTCATGAATCAATGGTGTTAATCGTTCAATGTTGATGTGGAAAATAGATTGTATTCGTTTGAGATTTCTAATTTGGATGTTACAATTATTTTTGTTTCTTTGACATGTTACTTACTTTATTTTCTTTTTGACCTTCAAAATATAATTACAATATTTAAAAGTATTAGTTATGTAGTTACATAAGATATAACAAAATTAAGAGTATATTCTTACTTGGGCTGTTTTAAATATCATGATTTTTTATAAATGAATGTAATTTTCATATTTATGATAAATAAGTAATAATTTACAATGCAACAGACATATCAAAGGAGTTTGCATTGTGGTGATGGTTAAAGGATAAAATTATTTATTTATATTTGAAATAATAACAATTTAATATTTAAATGTTAATAGGGAAACATTTTTAAATATTCTGGAAGTTCCTTCTCTTTTAGAGATAAATTTTATTTTAATATATTAAATTTCATTATTGTATCATAGTAACCAACTTATGCTAAGTGAAAATTCATTTGATTTTTACTTATATATTCGATAGACGATAATTATCTTAAGAATCAAGTTAAGGTTTATAAATAAAAGAGTTTTTTAAAAACAATTTTAAATTGATAGCACTTTAATATAACAATTAATCATCTGTTAAAAAGTCACAGACAATAATATTTATTTATTGATTTTTAACATGTATACTACCAAGTTTTCGGTGAGGTCAAAAAAACTTGATTACAAATCTATCTTATGAAGCTATTCCTCGAAATTAAAATAGAATGTTAGGAATCGAATTAAAGATCTTTTGAAAAATATATTAAGTGTGAATCCTAGACATGTAAATATATTTACTTCGTCTAAATATTCCACAATTAAAAAATCATAAAGCCATAACATTAAAAATTATACGATATTTTTATCTTTATACAAACATATTATTTATTAATTCTTATTTAATTATAATTTATTTTTGTATCTGGCAATAATAGTACATGGTAGATGTCATTCTAGCAATGTCAATGGCAACACTAAACCAGTAGCTTTTTCACTCTCCTTCGAGAGCTGTATGTTCAGTTGTGCTTTATATATATATTTTATATATATTCAATAAATTCTCAATAAAACAGTCATCAATCTCAAATAGATAATCTAACGCGTCCCCATTGATAAATGCCATCCCATAACCAGTATATATATTATGATTTCATTTGTGTTACTCTCTGTACAGATTTACTTTTAATTTATAATAGTTGGACGCATTTTTAACATGTGATTTACAAATGTAAATAGTTTTAATAACGATATGGACGTGAAAGTTATCGTGGGTGCGTAGTGATGTGATAATCTGGTGCAATCAGGATTCTTGCAACCAGTGCACTGTGCAGTGCTTTTTTTTTATTTCATTTTGACGTCCAAACACTTGTCATCGCCGTATTTGCTCGAGCTTAAAAAAAAGTAAGTATATTTTGAATATAGAACTTTGAAATTATATAAATACAGCTGTTATGTGGGAATTATCGGCATTATGATTTAGAACGACCTACAGCCAACATCTGCTTTCAACATGGCATGACTCATAGCTATAAAGTTTTCATTTTATTGTTTTTGTTTACACAAACGATAATTTCGCGCCGCTACTGTATTAATTAGGGTCAATTAACACTGAAATTAACTGAAATTATTTACTTACTATATACATTTAAATAATATTTGTATGACATAAACATACACTTAGTAAGCAAAACACGTCGTTCAGATTATTATGGAGACGCCAACAATAGCTTATCTTAATCTTAAATACGTTGAATTAGGAAGTAATTATAATATTTATTAAAATTAATATGTTGTCTGTTTAATATTAAAACTGTCCTTCCATATTTTTTTACATAATAAATTTATATTTTGTTTAAGTTTTTGCAACTTAAATCTTATCATATATATTATATTTTTTAGGCCTGTATTTTTAAGTAAGAACTACTATTAAATCCAACTACAGCTAATTATAAATTTGATGTAATAAAAAACACTTGAGAATATTCATTAACAATGCTTTTTAATTATTCAGTTTATTTCGAAACATTCACTTAATACAATGCTTAATAAATTCTTATGAATGTAAAATCTTTTCATTTAGAACAAAAAAACTGAAATGGTGTTTATACCAATTATAAGTATAATTAATCTTTTGAAGGATTGTGATATCTTTTTACATATAAATGAATGATAATATGAAGATTTTTTTCTCAATACACACAATATATAAAGATATACAGGGTGACTGGTGAATTACTATCAATATTTAAGGAAAATACTTGGTACATGATTCTCATTCGAATTATGTAAAAAAACATGGTACTTAATTTTTGACCAAATTTCCGTATAAATAAATAAAGTGTGGACACGTTCCAAGTGTGGACGCGTGTGTGTGCATGTGTGTGTATATCTAATCTGTAGGGTGTTCACACAATGCGTAATTAATTATATAACTTTTGGTTAACTTTACTTAGAAGTTTATTAATATTTATGTTATATTAATTTTTATTTTGTCATATATGATCGTCAAATATCACGTCCTCAAGTATCAATAGTAATTCACCAGTCACCATGTATAAAGATATATATGATATAAAGTACATAGTTTTACATATTACTATTATATTTTTATATATATAAGGATGATGCAAGTCCATGTAACTAGCATTGAATAATTCCACATATCTGCTTTTGATTTAGTTTTACAGGGGAATTTAAACACTACATTATTTTCTGAATTTAATGAGGTTTATGGTAATTTTTTTCACAGTAAATAATCATTTAGTCTTTTATTTATTACTCATTATGAATAAAATTACTTAGAAGTCTTTAAATTAGAAAATATTTCATATTAAACTTTCTTCTGATAATCTGCTTCCAATGTAGATATGCGGAATTATACAGTGGTAGTTATGCGGATTTGCACTATCCATAACTATATGTATTTCTCTTTTGTTACTTATTGTTGCCTGCGGTTTTGTCTGCATGTATTTGAGAAAAGATTTGTGTAATATGCATTATGAGATCACATGTATGTGTATTCTCATCTTTCTCATTGTTATTACTATTATTATCATTATGAAGTATTTCTTGAAGATTACTTCATCATATCTTCACTTTGTGATAATGGAAGTATCTCGGAATAATACTCTACTAATAAAAAAATAACAATCTTGAAAATCATAGTCGTAATAGCGACAAATTGAGAACTTTTCTTCTTTGAAATGGTTATAAGTAGCCTTACTTACTTTCTATGTCTTTACTTACATTGAAGTGAAATTCTTTCCAATATCAGTTCAGAGATTTCCAGAGATTAGATGGAAAAATAGACAAAGGATAAAAAATATATATTTTCAGGTATCATAATATACTTTCATATATGTTTAGAATAAAGCTTTTAATATGTCATTGCAAACAGACAATGATTTAGTTTATTAGTAGGTCTAGAAAACTAAATTTTATTAATTATGGTAATTTTTTTATCTATTTCCAGATTCGTAAATCATTTTTTATGGAAGATAAACTATAGTTTAAAATTTCTAACAATTATTAACAGACAAACTCCTTCAATTAAACAAATTATATATACATATATATATATATATATATATATATATATATATATATATATATATATATATATATATATATATATATATATACTAGAAGACCCGGCGTACTTTGTATCGCCATATAATCAAGAAATATCTGTTACGTTTTTTTATTTATATTTTTGGAGTTAACCTATTCAAGCCATAAATCTTCGTGTTTTGAAGATCAACAGAATGATTGACATATTAGTTAGTTGTCAAATCTAATGTCAAAAATAAACATTTGTATCAACAACTACTAATAAATTAAAAATCAATTAAAAAAACATTGTCCAGTGGACAAAATTGTGAACCATTCCCATTCCCAGATTCCCTTGAACTCACACAAAAAAGTCATCAAAATCGGTCCAGTTGTTTGAGAGAAGTTCAGTGACATACACACTCATAGAAGAATTATATATACAGGGTGACTGGTGAATTACTATCAATATTTAAGGAGCATACTCGGTACATGATTCTCATTCGAATTATGTAAAAAAAATAGGTACTTAATTTTTGACCAAATTTCCGTATAAATAAATAAAGTGTGTACACGTTCCAAGTGTTCCAAGTGTGAACGCGTGCGGCGGCGTGCTGATACAACAACACGCCGCCGCGCGCGACTGTGTGTGTGTGTGTACCTAATCTGTAGGGTGTTCATACGATGCGTAAATAATTACATAACTTTTGGTTAACTTTACTTAGAACTTTATTAATATTTATGTTATATTAATTTTTATTTTGTCATATATGATCGTCAAATATCACGTCCTCAAATATCGATAGTAATTCACCAGTCACCCTGTATAGATATTGTTGAGAAGTAATTCCAATTATGTTAGTAAGTTAGTATACTGATAGTATATAATCCATTGTTAAGCATGAATGCATAACTTAAACAATTTTTCTCAATACACCGTGGGAGATGTCACAGATTATAAATTTCTCAATCCCTCATTAAATTATTTTTTAACAATTTCTTATATGAATATGATATTCACATAAACTGAACAGTATATTATCTTTATATATATAAAATTCTCGTGTCGCGGT